ACCATTTGATTGATAAATATATACCCAAGACAATACCCAGTGCCTCCAGGAATACAAGAAGACCACTACACATGAACCCTGTGGCGGTTGACAGAGTTAAGATGAAAACTCAGAAATTCGAGACGTGGGTTTGGACGAACGATGAACAGTGCAGGAGGATGTATGCCATATCCAGGAACCAAGCAAAGTCAAAGTGTAGAAGGGCTGAAAATAAGTTCCAGAGGCAGATTATAAGCGAAGTCAAGTAAAACCCAAAGGCATTATACTGCCACGCATAGTCGAAATTAAAAATGTGAGTAGGAGTTTGGGGACAAATAGTTCGACAGCGCTAACCGAAACATTACTGTTACTGTCACTATCACTGAGGTCTGACTCTTGCAGGGTGTGGGATGCACTATGACTATCCGTATCAGAAATGTCTGTTTCCATGAGAGAGGGGACGCCCCTTCTGGGGCGTTTACGTTGACCCCCCCTCCCCCACCCCCATCGCTGGCAACACTTGCCGGCGAAGGGGTAGGTAGTAGAGACTGAAGTGGCCTTTCTGTGACGATTGGGAGGAGAGGAGCACCTATGAGCACACGTCTGTTTCCTTACGTGGTCTGACCTCGACTGACTGAGTTAGCTCCAGCCTCCAAGCTCTTGCTTCTCGTGCCCTGCGGTGTGTGGGAGTTCACAGACTTCCGGGCCGAGTTACCTTTTACTTGTTTCTTCTTATTTTGTGTAGAGATAAATCTTATTGAAAAGCCCATTGAATGTGTGCATAACATAGTAACTGTGGACATATTTGAGTATAAAAACTCATGAATGTTAACCTGATGATTAATTGTAAGATAATAGGAAGGAACTTTCGGCTATTGGTATCATTCTCTTTTTAGGGTTAAATTATTGCACCTGGAATGTGCTGTGTATCACAGAAAACGAGGAATTCCTTATTTTGTGTTTGTTTTTAAGTTACGCATATATCTTTTTAAAGCTCTCTATGACATTTAGTTGACAAATAATTGAAACCTTACACGAAATGACTTATTCGATATACATAAGACAATTTTATCATTAAAATCCATAAGAGAAATGTAACAACAGAAGGTGACAGCCGTCCGTCTGACTCTGAAAGTTAAATATTATTAATATTATCATGTTACTGAACTGTCATGACACACAAAGGAGATGCAACATTTAATGGAAAACCTTCAAACTTCACATGTTAACACTAAATTACATGTTAATACTACCTTACCCTTATTTGCAAAGGAATTGAACCCGTGTCACATTTGTCTAGAAGTCCAGAGTCACGTGGAGTATATTACTTAGAAATATCTAAATTTTTTAAGGTAGTAGGAAACACTTGTTGCAGTGCTGTAACAGGTGAAACACACCAGCACGGCCACTTGAAAGAAAAGGGAAGTCATGGTCACTGGGGGCAAGTATATGCTGCAACTGTAATGTAACTGGACATGAACTGAAACCGAACCACCCAGCTCCGGACCTCCCGATTTAAACTTGTCGAATAAGATATACTTGATGTAACCACGCTTTGGGGAGTGAAAGGAAGAAAAGGTCAGTCTACTGATATCAACTGTTCTGAGGACGCTTGTCCCTGGGTGTGTATGTTGACAACGAACGGAAATTCTCGGACCAAAGTGAGAAGGTAAATCAAGGTTTCTAGAGTTAGTACATGTCCAGCACTTGCCTACATTGCGTAACAGAGACAGGCCAATCAGTGGCAAAGAGGATAAAATTATAGATAAGGCAACGAACAAAATCGAAAAGTAGATATACTGTATTTTACTTTTACTTTTACTTTTATCCTCTTCACCACTGATCGGCTAGTTAGCCGCTTGGGCGATCGGTCATGTCTCTGTCACGCACTGTTGGCAAATACTGGGCATGCACCGGCTCCTGAATGTACCTGAACCTGCTCCAGTGTTGGTCAAGTCTGGTCTTGAAAGAGCTCACACTCGGTGCCGTCACAACACTCTCTGGCAGATTGTTCCAAGAGTTCACAACTCTCACTCCGAAAAAGTTACCCCTCACAGTTTTCTGGACCAGCGGCTTCTTCAATCTTGAGCTGTGACCCTTTGTGGTGCGAGCGTCCGCCAGTTCTAGGTAAAGACACTCGACTGAGTGGCGGAGTCATTAGTTATGAGGTGAAAGAAGATTATTAGGGGTTGAAGAAAATGTGGTGAAACTGAAATACAGTAGGCGTAGAAAGAATCTGGGCTCAATCAGATCGCTTCATCTTTCCCTTTGGTGTTTTATCTTTAATCTGCTCCCTTGGGTCATCAGACCTTTGTATTAATATTGGTTTATTTATATAGTGCTGCTTATTATTATTTTTTTTTTATACTGCGATGGAGTTAGTGAGCCCGCCCAGGTCCTTGTGTAGCTGGGAAGGTAGTCACATTTTTTTTTTGCGGTGGAGTTAGTGAGCCCGCCCAGGTCCTTGTGTAGCTGGGAAGGTAGTCACATTTTTTTTTTTTGCGGTGGAGTTAGTGAGCCCGCCCAGGTCCTTGTGTAGCTGGGAAGGTAGTCACATTTTTTTTTTTTGCGGTGGAGTTAGTGAGCCCGCCCAGGTAGTGCCCCTTGAAATGCTTATATACCTCAATTAGGTCGTCCCTTACCCGTCTGTATTATAAGCTAGGTTGGAGTTGTGTTTACCTGGATATTTACACTAGTATCCATTTATCTAAACTAACCTACATTAGGTTAAGTTAAGATAGGTTAGGTTAAGTTAGGTTAGGCTGCATTAATAGACGCTACAGTGTAAATATACCAGTAGACCAACTCCGGCCCGGTAGACCACGTACTATACTTTTATCCTCTTCGCCACTGATCGGCTTGTTAGCCGCTTGGGCGATCGTAGCACCAATAAGTCTTTGACTTTTTGTGTTATCCTCAGAGTTCTAGTGTATGTACTTTATGATATGTTGCGTTTATCCATACTGTTTTGTGCACAGCAAAAAGTATCTTTACAATTACAGTGTTATAAAATATGAAACAACTGACATGGGAAAATGTGGACACGCCAGTGATTCATATTTCTCTATGCCTACTTTTATATAAGCATAATTACTATAAACGCATTTTGACTATCACTTGTGTTATATAAAGCAAACATTGTTATGGTATTGATAACTAAAACAACTGTGCTCTACTCAAACCACCTCTTAGTAATGGGAGATCTCAAAAAAGGTGATATCGACTGGAGCAATGAAAATACACTAAACGACATTATTAACACGGCAACTCTTTTTATAGAAACTGTGAGAGACAATTTTCTATTCCAACATGTTAAAGATCTGATTCAACACAGAGATGAACAAACCGAATCTCATCATAACCAGGCCAAGGTTCAAATATTAAAATCGCGACTTTAACAGGATGACGGAGGAAGCAAGGAGCACTGACTGTCCTAACTTCTTGCACATTACGGATATGGATTCATCCTGGAAAATCGTAAAGGGAAGAGTTAAATATTTGATGGAAAAATATATGTCCAAAACTTAGCCCGTTAGTTAAAGAACAAGGAAACCAAACTTCCTATTGTTTAACAAAATCAAAATTATTGAGAACATGTGTGGGTGTATAAGATTTGAGACGTGAAAATTAATTATTTTTCTCGGTATCAACAGGAGAGGATGTAAATAACCCTGATACTTTTGAGGAAAAGCAGTTATATAAACTATACAAAAAAGCACGATTTGAGACTGAATGTGAGAAGGACCTAGGTGTGTATGGTGTCAACATAATGTTGACCATTAGCTGAAGTTCCCGGGCCATTGCAAGAAGAAGGTCTTATAAGAAGGTCGTTCAGATACTTAGACGGTCCTTCCCTCGTAACGATCTTCAAGAGTGAAGTGCTTCCCCATCTGGAGTACTATCACCCCGTCTGGTCCCCGAGATATGCTAAGGACTGTCAGTTGGTTGATAATGTTCAAAGGAGGGCCACCAGACCAGTGCCTGCGCTTCGGCACCTCAACTACCCTGAGAGATTGGAGCGCCTGAACTTGCCTAGCTTATACTACAGACGGGCAAGGGGTGAAGTAAATGAGGTGTATAAGCATCTCAAGGGGCACTACTCAGTCGAGTGTCCTTACTTGGAACTGGCGGACGCTCGCCCCACAAAGGGTCACAGCTCAAGATTGAAGAAGCCGCAGTTCCAGAAAACTGTGAGGGCAAACTTTTTCGGAGTGAGAGTTTTGAACTCTTGGAACAATCTGCCAGAGAATGTTGTGACGGCACCGAGTGTAAGCTCTTTCAAGACCAGACTTGACCACCACTGAAGCAGGTTCAGGTACATCCAGGAGCCGGTGCATGCCCAGTACTTGCCAACACTGCGTAACAGAGACGTGACCGATCGCCCAAGCGGCTAACGAGCCGATCAGTGGTGAAGAGGATAAAAGTAAAAAAAAAAAAAAAACACTGGAGTACACAGAGATCACAGATCTCAGAAGCATGTATTAAAACTTAATTATTTAATCTCAAGGTTTATAAAAGCCCTGGCCTTGATAGAGTACATTCCAGAGTTGATGTTAAAATGTAATTACTACTCTTCAACTTTTAAATTCTTTACATAATTATCTGTAATTTCAATGTTAAAAGAGTTGTGTAACGAGCTATCACAACCTCTTAAAACCTTGTTCCGCAGAAGTGTGAACAAATGATCCCCAAGGACGATACACGATTCCTATTGTCCTTCAAAACAAGATATTCGTCTTCAAAATGTATAAAGGTAGAGGTACATTCAGGAGCCGGTGCATGCCCAGTACTTGCCAACAGTGCGTAACAGAGACATGACCGTTCGCCCAAGCGACTAACGAGCCGATCAGTGGTGAAGAGGATAAAGGTAAAACTAAAAAGACACACACACACACACACACACACACACGGAAAAATATAAATAAGTAACAAAAGATCTTAAGAAATAGTTAAAAAATTAAATTTCAAAATATTTATGAGTTAATGACTGCACCATATGTAAATTATATTTAAGATTTATGTTGATAAAGTAAAGATGTGGATGTGTTGCGCTGTGCCGTCACCCTCACAACAACACCGCCATCTTCCTTCTCGTGTGTGTGGTACAACACGTTGGTCGCGGTGAGGCAACTCATAGAGTAAAATGTTATTTCATGTATTAATTTAATGTTACCCGTATTTATTTTACACTAATGGGATGTGGAAGACAGTTTATATTCACTTATAAGTACTCCGATACGCCAAGATTTGTAATTATCTTTATTTTGTAAACATAAATAACTCTTGACACATGTGATGTACAGCAGCTCTTAGACGTGAAGAGTGTTTCGTGTTGCGCCTACAGCATATGACCAAGGCACTCACAGCATTGTCTTGGATATTAATTAACCCTGCTTCAAAAGCTGTTTCAGATGTGGTGTACAAAAGAAAAGTAATCGTCTTTTTCCTTTCCCACCATAAGTTCTGTGTTCATATGTTTAATAAAGAGATTTTGCGTGTCACACAAAAGTTAGTGTGACTCAGCTGTCGTAAATAAAAAAGCGGTTAATATTCGCTTTTATCCCAATAGCCGTTTCGGATTTTTTTTTTACCATTATCACTGGGATACGTTTTAGGGGGTTAAATATATAGGACTAACCCGCGATTGATTGAAAAAAAATGAAAAACCCCCCGGATTTTCATTGTTATATTATAGTGGACACTGTTGTAGTTTGTGGAAATATTTTAGAAAATGGATATTAAAAAAAAACGTTACATAACATTTAAGAACATAAGAATGGAGGAAACTGCAGAGGGCCTATTGGCCCATAATGGGCAGTCCCATTTACACCCAACCCCTATTGCTCATATATCCATCCAACCTATGTTTGAAGCTATCCAGCGTATTCGAGTTGATGATGATATTTGGTAACTTGTTCCACTCGTCCACTACTCTATTTTCAAACCAATATTTACCTATTTCGCGCCTAAATCTAAATTTGTCTAATTTAAAACCATTGTTACGAGTTCGCTCCTGGTTGGATAGTTTGAGTACCTTTGTAATGTCCTCTTTGTTCAGCCCTGACTTTCATTTATACACCACTATCATATTGCCCCTCGCTCTACGTCTCTCGAGGGAATGCAAATTGAGATGCTTTAACCTGTCTCTGTTCTTGGGTACGAGTTATCTTGTAATTGGGTACAACTTGACATGTTCTGATGGGTACGATTTGCTTGAGTACGAGTTTTCCAGCACCGAAGAAACCTACCTAACTTCCAAGTCAGCCCCCCTGGGTAATATTGCAGTAAACAAAATTCCGGAAATTCACTACACTCATTCGATAAAAATATTTTAGGTTGGGTAAAACTTTTTTTATCAGATTCTTTAGTTGCTGTAATCTGCAATTGTATTGCCCCCTGGACTCCCTACCATATTAAACAAAGTATTTAAATATCCATTCTATGCCATATTTGTGCTTGTTGTACTGTCATAGATACCTATGCTGTGGTCCAGCCTTGAATGTAATTGAATAAGTTATTGAATTCCTGTATTTATTTTTTATTCTTTATTACAGGTAAGAAGCCAAGATGTCTGCAGACTTGTGTTGGCAAATTATACGTGATAATCATGCACACCTCCTCAAGAAGAGGAATGTTAAGAAACCATTTTCCACTGTAAGTTTATTTATTTTTTAACTTTGTAGGTGGTGACTAATTTTTTTATGTGGTGTGTGATAGGAAGGAATTTGTAGGAAATAAAAGATTAGAATTATGATTAAGAATGAGATATTGAAGGAGCGTTAAAGTTTAGGAATGGTATAAAGGAAGACAAATACTGTATGGTTTAGAGGAGGGAGGAAGGTAGGTTATTGGATATTTGGAAATATTACAAAGGGATTGGATGTAAAAAAAAAATTCAGAAATAGTGTTGCGTCCAACCTTTAGTTAAAATGAAGCATCAATTCAAACTTCATAGGTAAGTGACCTGAAGGTTGAATTTGGTGTCACCAAATGGAAAGGATTAGAAACTGAAGTGTGGGGGTTGTTTGGATTAGCAGAGGTTGTAAATTATGGTGTGATGGAATGATGAGAGGTTTGCTGAGATGGAATGATCATCAAGAATGCAGAAGAGAATAGTTAGTGTGTATAGGGGCAGTGTAGTAGGTGAGTAAGAGGAAAGTCGCCTACATGTAAGGGAATGACGGAACAAAACGGAAATATGAGAACAAAGGATGAGGGAGATAAGAGGTAAAGAGAGGGCAAGAATTGTGTAGAGATAGTATTACCTGGAGGCTCATATGTTGGCTGCCTCCATAGAGAGGAGCTCCCTGAAGGAATAGGGTATTGTAGATTTTTTTTGCTTAAGAATATAGCAATAAGTTGAAGATAAGCCTTAAGGATATTTTCATCTTTTATTGTACGTATATCCCATGCAGGAAGCTAACAACTTGAAGAATGTAAACAGTCCTCGTTATAATGGCATCTGTAAGAAGAAGGTTATTGGCATTGAACCTGCTGCTGGTGGCAAGGGCATCATATTGTCCCACAAGACTTCAAAATACCAGGTAATATATGCATAATCTTAATGTATACCCACCAAAAAAAAGGTTCTGTTAGTCCTCCATGAACCCTGAGACTCGTGAACCTGTGATTCTAAAGCCTCGTACACACCAAGATACATTGTCTAGAAACAGTCGCTCAACAATGTATCTGGACTGTTGCGAGACAATCCAGAAACACTTGGAAGACACGACAACATTGTTTCTGGACTGTCTAGTGACTGTTGCTGGACTATCGCGATTGTTTCGCAACAGTCGCAAGACAGTCCAGAAACATTATTGCATGTCCAGACCAAGCTAGTGATGAATTGGCGGTTAGAGCAGTCGACATCGTCATGTCAGTGGATGCAAAAGAGGCCGCTGTGGCGGGTGCCTGTGTTGTTATTTCCTTAGAAGAAAGAAGGCGGAGAGCAAGGAAAAAACCTTGACGATGGTGGATGAAGAAATTTTTTGATGAAGAATCAACAGATGGAGAAAAACTAATGACAGACCTGAAACTAGAAGATGCAGCTGGATTTAGAAACTTTTTAAGAACAGCTTCAGATTTTGAAATATTACTGAAAATAGTTGGTCCCAAAAATACAAACTATTGAGCCTCAATCCCTGCTAAAATATGCCTGGCAGTAACATTAAGGTATCTTGCCAGTGGGGACTCATCTGCCATTGTTCTGGAAGTGTGTGAAGCTCTCATTGATGCCCTGAAGGAATTTGTAAAAGCAAATTTATTTAATTATTTGACATTGTAAAGGGGGGAAAAATACCTAATGAAATTGCTTAAAAAATAAAAAAAATGCGAAAATCCTTTGTGTCATGCACATATAAATTACTTCACCTACCTATAACAATATTCATTGTTTTTCTTTAAATTTGTCTCCATGTTGAACAACTTTGTATCGTGTTTCCCATATGGGATGGGAAACAAGAAACGTCTGAAATCATGTTTCTGGACTGTTGTGAGACAGTCGCGCAATAAACTTGGATTTTTCTGAGGCAGCTGCGAAACAGCCCAGAGGCTATGTTGCGCAACAATGTATCTCAGTGTGTACACGGCCTGAGACATCACACATTGTTGAATCCATAGATGGTGCACTGTGTAATGTCTTAAATTCACAGGGTTCATGGATGGGAGAGAGGATTGACAGGACTATTTTGGTAGGTATACTTAATCTTATTGTGAGCAAGTATGGTAATGTGCATCAGGTTCCTGAATTCACACACCCCAGTCTTAGGACATTTCAAAAGATTCTCAATGATGTTTCTCCACAGGACCACAGTTATTGTTTTTTTCATGCAAAACACATTATTGTATTCAATATGTGTGCCAGTGAATACAAGTCTGACAATAATGTGTAATGTCACTATGGTGCTTGAGTATTTTTATAGATTGAGAAGGTGAAAGCAAGAGTAATGGTAGATGGTGCAAAGAAGGGGGAGCGACAACTCTTGTTTACAGATCCTGAAAGAACGTTTACAAATTTGGGAGAGTTTGTGCTAAAGGAAATTAGCAGCAAATATGATCAAAAGTGATAAGAATACAGGTCTACTTTACGTTGATTTACAATAGGGTTGTGTTCTTGAAGACTGTATCATAAACCGAATAATCATAAGCTGAATTGTCTTTATCCATCAATTACCAGTATAAATTAGATGATATGTTCCTCGACAAAAAGAATCTTCAATATGTAATAAAGTGATACTGCAACTCGGCCTAAATATTTACTGTATATATGCATAAAAAATTAAAATGCACTGTACTATACCGTAGTTAGTCAACAGTTTGAGAAAAAAATGTCTCGATGAATGGGATAGTACTAAAATTTTACTGGTTGTGGACATGTTTTCACCAGCCTCAATACACTTTATCAACTCCAACTTAAAACAAGTGATGGCTATGTGGGGGTCTCTTACTAGGGTTATTGGGACTCTTTATTTTTCTGATATATATATATATACAGTGATCCCTCGGTTAATGAACACAATTCGTTCCAGAAGGTCGTTCGTTAACCGAAACCATTGTTTCAATGGGATTTTGGATAATTGGTTCCAGCTCACCGAAAATTACATGCAAAGTAAAAAAAATTGCAGTAATGTACACTTTGAGGTGTGTATGTAGAAGGCTCCTGGTTGATGATGATGGGAACTAGAAGTGAGGGTGGAGGAGAAGAGAAGGAAGTGGGGGTGGAAGAGAAATCACCCCATGCTTCATGCCGTCATTTCACCCATAAAATTTTAAGTTGACTAGGTGTAATTCAAGATTATTTTCTTTAAATCAACACTGCACTATATATTGTCAATATGTTAAATAAATTTCAGAATGACCAATAATTGTACTGTAAAAACGTAAAAATACTCTGTTCAAGAGACCCAGAAGCAAGATGTTTCCTCCACTGAACAGAGATACAAACTGAGGCCTTGGTGGGTGAGTGAAGTGGTTGATGGGCACACCAAAAACTAGTTCCCTGTACTGCAATTATGTTAAATAAGTGTTATAATGACTAAAAATTTTAATATGAAACTTGGACAATTATTGAATAGTACAACCTTCTTGATATTTACTCAAGTTTTAACGAATGTAAGCCCTAGAACCGATTTTTGTATTGGCGGACTAATCTTCCAGCTGATGAGCAAACCAAAGCATGTCGAAACAATTTCGTAAGAATTTCGTTAACCAAATTTTTGTTCGTTAACCGAAATGAAGATTCTTATGGAAGGTAATTCGTAAACCGAGGCGTTCGTTAACCGAGGGACCACTGTATGTGAAGCATAGGCTCTGATGCAAGAGAAATTTTGAACTGACCAATGACATTCTTGACCCTTTGGCTCCTGAAGGTTTTCCTAAGTTGAATAAAATGCTAAGTGCAGGATTTGGTGCAAATGGGTTTAGGAGGCAGGGAATTAAAAATAGAAATACAGGCGCACCACTGAATTTCCGGCACCCTTGGTTCCAAAGCCTTGCTGGATTATCCAATTTGCCGGACTAACCAAGGTCAGGTAATAATAATTCAACAATGCATTTCTGACCCACTAATTATATACCTCCTCTCTAAAGCACCATGGACTACTAGAATCTTAAATTAAACAAACATTAAATGTGAAAAGGCCATAATTTTTAGCAACATTATTGTACACACTTTGTACTCAAATGTACTACACTAAAAGGCAAAAAAAAATATCATGTAAACTATGTGATGTTTATACTCTTTTTAATCACTATCATACAAGGATTCCAGCAATGCAAGTTATATTCTGCTAAGTCTAGTCTGTGATCATTTTATAAGATAAAAACTTTAAACCTAAACTACGTGCTCAGAAAGCCTCGAATCATATCATTCCCATGGCTAATGATACGTTTTTTGGGGAATACATGTAATGATTTTTTAACTGCTGAATGGCGGCAACACTGTCTGCCTGCACTTACAGTATAACTACTGTACAAGGAAATTACAGTATAAATAAATATATCTACACAGCAGGTTTGATATCTTGAATACCAATCATAAATCATCTACCGCTACGTGCCATACTTATAAGGATAAAAAATGTGTCCGATATACTGTATTCTTAAATGTGTCATAATTAGAAATTTCATGAAATAACTAAATTTAATATATACAGTGACCCCTCGTTTAACGAAATTTCGGTTAACGAACTGCCTTCCATAAGGATCTTCAATTCGGTTAACGAATTTCTTACGAACCGACCTCAACATGTTTTCGCTTGCACTGGCCGGGCAACCAGCTTTAGTATCAGTCCGCCAATACATTAATCGGTTCTAGGGCTTAAATTCCTAACTATTTTAGTAAATATCAAGAAGTTTATACTATTCAATAATTTTAAAAGTTTAATATTCAATTTTTTAGTCATTTTAACAATTATTGAACATAATTGAAGGTAAAGTGACTAGTTTAAAGCGCAGCATCCAGCCTCTTAACACAGCAAACAGGCGTTAGTCTCTCTGTTTTCACTGGAGGTAACATCTTGCTTGAGACTCTTCAACTAAACGCTTTTTTCTGTGTTTCCAAGCAAATTATTGGTCATTTTGAAATATATTTTACATATTGACAATATATAATGCAGTACAGTGTTGATTTAAAGAAAATAATCTTGAAATACACCAAGAGAACTAAAATTTTATGGGTGAAATGGTGCCATGGGGTGACTTCTCTTCCACCCCAATGCCTTCTCTTCTTCCTTCTCCTCCACCCCCATTGTAATTCCCATCATCATCATCATCCAGGAGCCTTCTACATACACACATCAAAGTAAGTGAACTTTTCTACCATTTTTGTTGAATGTAGGAAATTTTCGGTGAGCTGGAACCAATTACCCAAAAACCCATTGAAACAATGGTTTCGGTTAACGAACGACCTTCTGGAACGGATTGAGTTCGTTAACCGAGGGGTCACTGTATTTTGTAACTGAAAACATTACGAATTAGGGGTGATTTCGAATTGTTTTTTTTTTATTGTAACAAGACTAGTTACTGTGTTTGTAACTTGAAATAATGGTATGGTAATAATGACACTATTAAGAGAGGGCATATTTGTGTTACTCAACTGTAGTCGTGACAGATTTTATGTATTATAGTGTGAAATGAAACAATAGTTTAAACAAAAACTTGTAAAGATGACTTGTTTGATAAGTACTGTAGGTCTTCTGCCATTAACTACCAGTCCTGCCTGTGGGATCCATTTCAGTTTACCAGGCAAACTGGGTATAGGTAGTTTGACAGATTTTTTCATGGCTTAGCGATGATTTATTGTTTGTTCTTCATTTCATAATATAATTATTCTCCCTTCACTGACAGAACAAACCAGGAAAGAATCTTGTGAAGACTACCATCAAAGCAGGGCCTCGTCGGGCTTTGAACTCTATTCGTAGATTCATCAAATTCAACCACTACAGAAAGGATCTGAAAAAGGTAAATTCTTTAATAGGAAAATAAGCTGAATAATAATCGGGAAATAATAGCATTGCAGAACAGAGACCAGAGTTTGCACTGGGCCAGGAAGGTTAATGCTCTGCCAAATTGTTTTATATGTTCGGTAAATTTTTAGTGCAGTAGCTAATACATCCCCTATATCTGGGACCATGATCATGAGATGAATTAGAAAAGATACTGTACATAAATTTGGGGGTTAAAAATGGTTAAAAAAAACCAGTCTTCGGGAATAAGATATTTTGATGCTGAACATCCTATAGCTTCCAAACGGGGGTACTACCGCCTGGGAAGGTACTGGAAGCATAATGTGTTGTCTAATGGTAGACCCTGCTGCCATATGGCATCACAAAAATTGTGACCAAGTCCCAGGTTGCTGATCTGACTTTCTGCCTCATTTACACACAATTGCCAGGTCTCCATTGTTTCTCTTACTTTGACAACATAATGTATATCATGTCTCATTCTTGATTTATTTTTTGTTTTGGTATTTATTTTTTGTTATTTTTTAGAATGCTATTTTTATTTTTTATGAATAATAATAATAATAATAATAGTTATTATTATTATTATATTTTTGTCCCCATGCCCTGATATGGGTCAGTGACCTGTGCCCAGGTGGGCTAATCCCCGTAAAAAAAAAAATCACTCGCTTTTGCTGAACATTTCCAGGTCTCAATCATCCGAGTTTTCATTTTTCTTATGATGATTTTAAATACATTTACAAAAACATTTATATGCTTGAGGCTTATTTTCTGCTGTGTACACCTTTAGAACACAGAGGACAAGAAAATGTGATTAATGACTCCACTCATTCAGACTCGAGAGGGGAGATATGCTGAGACCTCGTGCATGACCTGCTCCCTATTCCAAGTGTAGTTCCATTAAAATATGATATAGTAAATTATGCAGGTTTCTTATTAGGTTAGGCCAACCCTGTCAAGATTTAAGGTTTAGGGTCCAAATTCAATGTAATCATTTACAGTGTCCAATTTATAATGAATTCTGTTTTGGCTTACATTCCTAAACTGAGAAAATGGTAAGGATGCTTAGCCAACTTTTAGAAGGTGCAGAATTACTCTTAGCTGATTTTTTAAAACCTAGCATTGAGGATGTCATCATGTATGACTTCATAACAAAGTATCTCAGTGGGTTGTTTGCAGTGTTCATTCATGTTTGACAGAAGGTAACCTGAGATATCAAGGTTTTTGAACTTGGTATCCTGAGAGTACAGTTAGTTGTCAAGCTCTTTCTTTTGGATGTCTTGTATGAAGACAATTGCTTAAAATGAAACTTGATAAAATTTCAGTTTTCTCTGCCCTGACAAGATTTATAAGATGGATTTGCTGACTGACTTAATTTTTTTGCGGTAGATAGATACAAGAGATGGGAACCTTTCTCCTTACCGAGGGTATAGTATTCAAAGGGCGGAGATCAGCTATGAGATCTTATTTGCCTGTGGCCTGTTGATGTAAGGCTCTGAAAGGATAGAGAGGTTTTTGAAGAAGAGGGTTTCACTGAAATCTTAAGTCAGTTTTGGTTCAAGAGGGGTTAGGTTTATAGAGACTGAAGGAATGATTCTCTTACCTGAATTGGATTATGGTCAACCAAAATAGTTTGGAGGAGACCCTTGGAAAATTTTGAACTTTCTGCTTCCACTAAACAATTTCTTTGAACACACATTGTAAAGTTTGGAGGGGGAATGTTTGGTAATATGATTACTGTATAAATGTTACCTAACCTCAATGACTTGTTTATGCCCAATTGAAAACTAAAGCAATTAGGAACCCAGGGAAGCACAACCAATGTTGGCTGAGGTTAATATCTCCCACAATACCTTTAGCCTTTAAAAGATGTAAACGCACTGTTGCATGAAAGCTGGGAGTTCACAAGACTTATTGGACTTAATGGTCTCTTTGTGAGCTTAATCACAAAATTATTTTAAAACAATTTTTAATTTTGATAATTTGAAATGAACTACAGGTAAAAGTATTTGTTGAAGCAGTACAATTGAGATTTGCTGTGACATAATGATGACATCATCATTGTCCCGCTATTTTATGTAGTACTGCACTTCTGAAAACAAAGGTGCCAGGCAAATGACCCAACAACAATTGCTGAACTTGGAATTAATTGTCATGGTTTGCGATGGTTATATGGTAAATTGATATGCTAAATCCAACTGCAGTACCACGAAGATTCTATAATCTTTGGTTAGAATCCAAACCTAAATGGTTTAGAGAACTGTATATACATTAATGTGGATGTGATATGAATTGAGATCATATTTAATAATTTAGGGATGTAAATATGAACCTTTTCCAACAGGCTGCCCTTCGACGTGCCTCAGCTATCCTTCGCTCTCAGCGTGCTCAGCCCTTTAAGAAAGCTCGTCGTAGGACTCACAAGGTTGCCAAGAAGACCACAGAGTAAACTTTGCAAATAAAGAAAGAACATTTATTTTTTGTTTCTATCCTATTATTGGCTTGTACATATTCATTGAAATTTATATATATTAAGCAAATTTATGAAGTTCCATGGTAACATCAGCATTTATGGGCACTGTTTATAATGCTGGTCAATTAGGCAGGTTGTGTTCCATGGTATTAACAGCAGAGTTGTATGCAAATTATATGGGTATTTGATACCAACCACTTCAGCATATCAGTAGTGTAAATAATGAAACGGTTAAAACTTGAACCGATCACGTCTCCACAGAAATCCAAGCTGTGCTGTGAAAGTACACCACATAAGAACATACCAAGGTGTTTATACTTGGCTTTACTTTTATCCTCTTCACCACTGATCGGCTTGTTAGCCGCTTGGGCAATCGGTCACGTCTCTGCCATGCACTGTTGGCAAATACTAGGCATGTACTGGGTCTGTTATGCACTGTTGACAGGTACTGGGCATGCACCGGCTCCTGGATGTAGCTGAACCTGCTCCAGTGTTGGTCAAGTCTGGTCTTGAAAGAACTCACTCTCGGTGCCATCACAACACTCTGGTAGATTGTTCCAAGAGTTCACAACTCTCACTCCGAAAAAGTTTGCCCTTACAGTTTTCTGGACTTGTGGACTCTTCAATCTTGAGCTGTGCCCCCTTGTGGGGCGAGCATACGCCAGCTCCAAGTAAGGACACTCAACTAGGTAGTGCCCCTTAAGAAGCTTATACTGTATACCTCAATTAGGTCACCCCTTGCCCGTCTGTTGTATAAGATAGGCAAGTTCCGGTGCTCCAAAATCTCAGGGTAGTTGAGGTGCTGAACTGCAGGTGTGGATACGAGATGTTTGGTTCGAGACTCAGGATGGGATGGAGAAAAGAAACTCACAATGTGCTCTCTGTATACATGCTGTATTGGATGTACAATGCAGCTTGGTGCTGGGAAGGCAGCATGGTTACAAGCGTTGAGTAGAGAGAGCTGGTTGGTGAGGGTGCTCAGAGGAGGACAAGCTTGTGGGTCGCCATGCTCGCCGGCGGGAGTGAGGGCCGCCAGGCAGCGGCAGAGGAGGTGGTGTTGCTTGCTGCGGCTGTAGCTAGAAGAAGAGAGGGGTCACCGCGAGGTCAGGACTTAAATAGCGGGGGTAGGCGTGGCTTAGCAGTTGACCTCCGTGATGTATGGCGGCGCTGGTTAACCCAGACTACGAGGCATACACGGGAATTCGCGGGGTCGGCTACTCAGCGACAAACAGTGTTTGTAGGGGAGAAATCCACTACAATACTCCCTCCTTCCCTCCAGGCGGTGTAGGAGACTTGTTGTCTGCAGGGTTGCATGGCACATGTGAGGCAGAACGGGCGGTGCATGCCACATGTGAGCCATAACTGCGATGGCGTGGATGAGCCGGCTGCTAGAGGAGACAACTGTCTAGATACACAATATCTGTGGGAGTAGAGAGGGAGAAAAAGGGTGTGTGGAGGTGATGAATGTTGTGCTTCTCTCACGGCAGGTACAGAGTCGTCAGATGCGCCTGCTGGGGTGTGTGGGCCTGGGTCATTAGCAGGGGCTGCGTCAGCAGAAGCGGATGAGGGCTCGTGGCAGCAGCTGGGTCCACGACAGCAGCAGGATGCAGGACAGTAGCAGGGAGTACCTCAGGGAGAAAAGAGGAGTGCTGGTCCGCACTCAGGCGCAGGGGCTGCATCAGGAGCGGCAGGGGGGTACTGCTGGGCCGGGGGCGGCGTCTGAGGCAGGACGGGTGTGCTGGGGTCAGTAGGACGTGGTGCTTGGGGCAGGAAGAGGAGCTGGTGTCTGCTAGAGAAGCAGTGCTGCTCTAGGGTGTCTAACCTGCGGTGTAGAGACAGTAGCTGTAGAGCCGATGAGAGCTGCCTCTGTGTGGATAAGCCAGTCTTCCATGTTGCTTGAAGACTGGGAGAGTGATCGGTTTCTCCTCCATCCTGTGTGAGTGCGAATCGCCGGGGGTCACCATTTGTGGGGTACGGGTAGTTTGGTTCACACTCAGGATGGGATGGAGAAAGGAAACTCACAATGTGCTCTCTGTATACATGTTGTATTGGATGTACAATGCAGCTTGGTGCTGGGAAGTGGCAGCGTGGTTACAAGCGTGATGTAGAGAGAGCTGGTTGGTGAGGGTGCTCAGAGGAGGACAGCTTGTGGGTCGCCGGCGGGAGCAAGGGCCGCCAGGCAGCGGCGAAGAAGAGAGAGGTCACCGCGAGGTCAGGTCTTAAATAGCGGGGGCAGGCGTGGCTTAGTAGTTGACCTCCGTGATGTATGGCGGCGCTGGTTGATCCAGACCACGAGGCATACACTGGGGAATTTGCGGGGTCGGCTACTCAGCGACAAACAGCGTTTGTAGGGGAGAAATCCACGACACAGGTACCAGTCTGGTGGCCCTCCTTTGAACATTTTCAACCAATTGACAGTCCCTAGCATATCTCGGTGACCAGATGGGGGTTATTTCCTTCCTATCGGCCATTTATTTTCCTTCCCCACGTTTGGTAATGGGGATATCACCAGATTTTACCAGGTGTCATACTACATGCCCTTCTAGTCACTAGAACCATGCTGCCTTCCCAGCACCAAGCTGCACTGTACATCCAATACAACATGTATACATGAGAGCACATTGTGAGTTTCCTTACTCCATCCCATCCTGAGTGTGAACCAAACATCCCATACCCCACAGTAGAAAGAGAGATAGGTCACCACGAGGTCAGGTCTTATATAGCGGAGGTAGGCGTGGCTTAATAGTTGACCTCCGTCATGTAAGGCGGCGCTGGTTGACCTAGACTACGAGGCATACACTGGGGAATTCACGGGGTCGGCTACTCAGGACAAACAGCGTTTGTAGGGCAGGAATCCACTACAACAGCACGAGGGTCCCGGTTTCTCTATCAAGGAATAAAATATTGAAATTGAATTGATAACACCAGTCAACACAATTTTTCTGGCACAAGGTTTTTAAACGGATTTTAAGTAAATTTGGGGTGCAGAATCTAAATATGACTGGTTTTTGTCTATCACATCAGGTTTTTGAGATATACCATATTGCACTTTTGCTGGTAAACGTAAACTTTTGGATCAAAATTGACGGTTTAAACATGTATACATAAATTTTTTCAGCATTATATTTTGTATTTTTCTATAACCAAAAATTGTTAATATCAAATTGGAAAGTTAATGCACATATAATATTTAAATGTAACATTGAAGGGTGAAAAAAAAACAATTAATGTACGGTAGAAATAGTGCAAGTATTAAGATCAAGTTACAGTTACATAAACTTCCTCTTTTTGGCCGATCTCTTATGTACAGCTTCTGGAATGTCTCTCATCAAACTCCAGCAGTAGTCCGCCATCATGTTCGAGTCCCATCGACCTTGGTAATGTTCTTCCATTACTTTAATGTCTTGATGAAAGCACTCCCCTTGCTCCTCGCTCACTTCTCCTAGATTTTCTGGAAACTCGTCCAAGTGACTGTGTAAGTAGTGAACCTTGATACTCATTCTGCATCCAAGTGCTTGTAAACTCAAGAGCAGCTCTTCCACAATTTCTTGATAGTTGTCCGCTTTCTTGTTCCCTAAGAAGTTCCGCACCACATTAGAGAAAGCATTCCAAGTTCTTGCCTGTGCCTCAGTCATTGTTGCAAGGAAGTGTGGATCTCTGAGTAGTGTTCTTATTTGAGGTCCATCAAAAATCCCTGCCTTTTTCTTCTCGTCGCTAAGACTTGGAAAGGTTGAGCATATATATCTGAAACACTCTCCACTATGATCAAGAGCCTTGACGAATTGCTTCATGATACCAAGTTTTATGTGCAGAGGAGGAAGGACAATGTTTTTCTTGTCAACCAGAGGATCGTTAATGATATTCTTGTCACCAGGCGTCAAACTATGTCTTGGTGACCAATTCTTTTTCACCCAATGGTCTGCTGTAGCCCTGCTGTCCCAGTAGCACAGAAAACGGGGGTATTTTGTGTACCCTCCTTGCTGGCCCAATAGAAAGTTTACCATTTTCAAGTCCACACAAATTAACCATTCATGAGCATGGTATTGCAACCTCTCTAGAACAGTCTTAATGTTTTCATACTCTTCTTTAATTTGTACAGAATGTCCGATTGGAATTGAACCATACTTGTTTCCGTTATGAAGAACACATTTCAAGCTCCTTTTAGAACTGTCAATAAAAAGTCTCCAATCCTTACTATCATATGCTGGTAGTCCCATGGAGAGAAGAAGTCCTTCTACATCATTACAAAAAACAAGCTGGTCATATGAATGAAAGTACTTCCGCAGTTGCTCTTCTCTGTTGCGATAAAAGGAGACACTCGTGCCAGGTTTTAAGAGTCGTTTCTTTTGAAGCCTGGAAGCTAACAATTCAGCAGACTGTTTTGGCAAATTTGGATCTCTGACCAGATCATTCAATTCTGACTGAGTAAACAACGTTGGCTTTTCACAATCTTCACCAGATGGCTTGAAAAGATCAGTCTCTTCATCTTCATCAGTAGAAACAGGTGAATTCCGGTCTATATCCTCAATCTCTGGTAGCTCAGTAAATTCTGGCACGTTACGTGATGGAGCAAATCTGAGATCAGATTTGGATTCAGCACCTTAAAGTTAGTAAAAAACAGTTAAAAGGTTTCATGCCAGAAAAAAAAAATATTTTTTTGTAGACCAGTGTAATAAAGGTAACGAAAACTCCCGAAGGGTTATTAAGTTGACAACATAATAAAAAATAACGTCAATAGTTCCAAAAGAGAACTATTATTAGAAATTCTTTGGTTATAAAATCGGTGACAAATGACAAATTGAATTAAATTATTAAAAAAGAGTTGCGGGAAGCAGCGGGTACTGTTGAATCAGAGACGTGACCGATCGCCCAAGCGGCTAACGAGCCGATCAGTGGTGAAGAGGATAAAAGAAAGGTAAAAAGAGATTGGTGTTGGGCGGAGTCAGTGTGTATAGGTTGGTGTAGTGGGCGAGTGACTGTGTTGGTTGGCGTTACACCACTCCTCCACCAAGCTTGGGTAACTGTGAGTGACTCGTCTCCAGTTGAACAATATATTTTACTTAATATACTAGTTTGCTCATGAATAATGAACCGTATGATATGTTGGGATGTTAATACGTTTTAAATTTTATAGTAGTCCTGTTTTTAAGTGGAAGTATACAAATTGTTAAAATATTGTTGTTTACGTCTCCATGCACCTGAACACACCACTAGGGTAAGAATGTATCACTTATGATTATTACGGTACATGTTCAAAGGTAGTCAAGTGTTGGTAAATCTGTACTTTCGGACCAAAATGTTTTTCCAGTGTATTTTGGTGTGTTAAACGAATCTGACCTTCATTTTGGGAGGAAATTGCTCGCTTTTCGCCCCATCGATAATGGGGGAGAGCCAGGGAAATCGGGGTTTTGGGTGAGGGAAAACACGGAAACGAGTCGTCTAACCTAACCTAACCCCTAGCCGGGGGCTCTGCCCCCGAACCCCTGGTAGGCTTAGTTTAAACTAACCTAACCCATCCTATTCATTTCCAACTAATATACAGTAAATGGGGTTCAAAAGACTCAAAATAATGAGATCTAATTGTTTCAGTAGTTTTAAACTTAGGGGTGTGCCATGTCTGAAAGTACAATACCTTAGAAGTGGAAGGACCAGGGATAGGTTCAGGGTCAACTTCTGATGCTTGTTCTTTCTAAATTTACAAGGCAATTTACAGTGCGGGCACTCAACAGATGTAGGGAGAACACCATGATTATGTAGGAATTGGATAGCATTATCTTCTTTCTCATAAAATTCCACAATAAACTTAAGATAATCGTCGGAGCACAATTCACACCCAACCCCTACCATGGCCATTGCCACACTGGCCATTGAAATTTAAATCCTTCAAATCCATACCTTGGCTCCTTTTGAAAAAATTAAATTTTGATTGGGCGAAAAAAATTCACGTGATGAGAACAATACATCGTTGGTCACGACTGCTAGACGTCACACATGCGTGTTGTAAACACGCTCATAATTAGCTTGCTTTCACGGCAATAACATCTCCTTACATAGACAAAGACTGAAAAGTACGTAAAATCAATTGAATTAAATTTTGTTGTTATCCATTTTCGGCAGGTATATATGGGATTCAAAATGCTCAGAATAGCGAGATCAAAATGTTTCAGTAGTTTATAACTTTGAGACACGCTATGTACGAAAGTAAAATAATATCCCAAGTGTTAAGTATTCTTGGTAAAATTTTACGTTCGCGTAACAAGGGAATCTTAGACATTTTTTCTTTACAATCAATAGTTTAGATGGTCAATTTATGATAGTAGCCAGGTTTCGATTTTTCCATAAAATTTTTTTTTTTTTTTTATATGGTTCTTGTGATTTGAATGAATCCGACCTTCCTTTTTTGGTGCTAAACCTAACCGAAACCTGGCTACTATCCTTAATTGATCGTTTAAACAATTCTTAAACATTTTCTATGTCGTTTCCATTGCATTTATCCCAGAGTGATTAAAGACATTATGGAGGAAGTACTTGAACCTCTGCAGATCATATTTGAGTTTTCGCTTAATATATAGAACTAACCTGCCAGGGCTGCATAGCGTATCATCTCACGTCCAGAAAATGACTCAAATTTCACCATATCATAGTAAGTTCTTTTTGTTTAATATACCGGGGAAGTTAGGTAAGGTTAGGTAGGTTTGTTTGATTTGGTTGGTTAGGTCTGTTCATACCCACAAATGTTAAGTAACGTTTATTTTAAAAATATCAATTTTTTAACATATTTCCACAAACTACAACAGTGTCCACTATAATATAACAAAGAAAATCCTCTCTTTTAACCATCATCCAGCAGACTGGAAGAGAGCAAACATTACTGCAATATTTAAGAAAGGAGGTAGAAGTGATCGCAAGGAACTACAGGCCGGTTAGTCTCACCAGCATAATATGTAGACAGTGGACATTTTGCTGTGACCAGCTAAGTTCTTACTAACGCTAAGTTACCGTGAGTGTACTCTGATTGGCTAATCATCCATTACCGGCGAACAACGCGTGAGCTATATTTTGCCGTGACTCTGGCGGCATTTGGCATTTATTTAGCCGTGAGTCGATCGTTATGTAGCTGTAAACATACCTAACCATATTAATGTTGTGCATGGAAACTTATCATCATTAAAGAGGTGACATTTACTAGAACCTAATAGAACCTGACCTAACCAACCAAAAAACCTATTTAACCTTACCTAACCCACTTGCCTGGGGGCAGACCTCCGTTATATTAAACAGAAAGTAATTAGCATTAGTAGCTGAACCTGCTCCAGTTTTGGTCAAGTCTGGTCTTGAAAGAGCTCACACTTGGTGCCGTCACAACACACTCTGACAGATTGTTCCAAGAGTTCACAACTCTCACTCCAAAAAAGTTACCCCCTCACAGTTTTGTGGACCAGCGGCTTCTTTAGCCTTGAGCTGCGACCCCTTGTAGGGCAAGCGTCCGCCAGCACCAGGTATGGACACTCGACTGAGTAGTGCCCCTTGAGATGTTATACACTTCAATTAGGTCCCCCCCCCCTTGCCCGTCTGTAATATAAGCTCTGCAATTTCAAGCTCTCTAATCTGTCAGGGTAGCTGAGGTGTCGAAGTGCAGGCACCAGACTGGTGGCCCTCCTTTGAACATTTTAAATCAACTGACAGTCCCGAGCATGTCTCGGGGACCGGACGGGGTGATAGTACTCCAGGCGGGGAAGCATTTCACTCTTGAAGGTTGTTACAAAGGATGGACTTTCTAGATTTCTGAATGACCTTCTTATAAGACATAATAATTTAATTGCTTGATTCACCTTCTTCTCACAATGGTCCAAGAACTTCAGCTCATTGTCAACATACACACCCAGGTCCTTTTCACATTGTCTCAACTAGTGCAGTTTCTTCATCCTGTTAGGACATGTGATACACCTCCTTACTGTTGATACGTCCCAGGTGCATCCTCTTACACTTCGTGACATTGAATCTTAGCAGCCATTTCTTCGACCATTCTTGAAGCTCACAGTCTGTTTGGTTCTTAATTTCCCAAAATAACTTGGCATCATCCACAGACATTTGTATGGGGGAATGTACAGCATCAGGCATGTTATTTATGAAGCAAGCAAACAAACAACAGCAGGCCCAATACACTGCCCTGTGGTACCCCGCTTGTGACGGGTACACATGATGATTTCGTGCCATTAATCACCACACACTGCTTGCGGTCATGTAGAAAGTGTTCGATTCACACTCGGACATTTCCCCGAACCCCGTACCCTTCCAGTTTAATTTTTTGCCTTTCACGGGGTACACTGTCGAAAGCTTTGGCAAAATCTAGGTACCGGTATGTATTGACGATATTACCTCCCTGTTCCAGAATTTGGGTCGAAGCATCCAGTACCTTGGGTAATTGTGTTAAGCAGGAGCGCCCCGGCATAAAACCGTGTTGGCAATCCTTTACAAGGTTGTTTCGTAGTAGATGTTCCATAATGGCATCTCTTATAATGTTCTCAAGCACTTTACATCCTATGCTGGTCAGGCTCACTGGTCAATAATTATTCGTGGAGTGTCGATCACCTTTCTTGAGGAAAGGACTCAAATAAGCCATTTTCCAATCACTGGGGACCTTTTGCTCATCCAGGCATTTACAGAACAAGATCTTCAGGGGCTCAGCAAGCTCATTGTACAACTCTCTTAGCACTCTGGGATGCACCATGTCAGGGCCGGGATTCTGATGAACCTTTAGCTTTGACAGTTTATTTCTTATAACCTCTTCTGTGAACACAATGTGGGTCAATGCTGTGTCAAACTGTCTGTCCTCAAAAGTAGGAAGATTAATTGCATCCTCTCTTATGAACACTGAGAAAAAGAAGCTGTTCAATGCCTCAGCTTTGTCCTGGTCAGAATCTGCATAAATACCATCTTCAAGCCTCAGGTCCGATACTCCTACTCACATTTTTAATTTCTACTTTGCATAGCAGTAAAACGCCTGTGGGTTTGACTTGACCTCGCTTGCAACCAGCCTCTGAACTCCTTTTCATCCCTTCTACACTCTGACTTTGCTTGGTTCCTAGCTCCTGCATACATCCTCCTTTACTGCTCATCATTTGACCCAACCCATGTCTTGAATTTCTGGGTTTTCTTCTTAACTTTGTTGACCGCCACATGGTTCATGTGTTGTGGTCTCCTTGTATTTCTAGAGGCACTGGGTTTGGTCTTGGGTATATATTTCTCAATCAAATGGTTCACTTTACTAGCTATGATATTCAGCATCGTGTCTGCGTTCTTATGCCTTAGTGAGTCAGGCCAGTCGATACCCCTCATCCCGTAGTAATTTTCATTGAAATATTTGAACCTTGGTCTGGTTTGTCATGAACCAAGTAACAGTAAATCTGAAGGACAACATTACATGGTGGCTGGTGCCAACTGGGGTAAGGTGTTCCAGTTTGACCACCATACCCTCCTAATTTGTTATGATGTGTTCCAGTGGCTTGGGTGTTTGCTCCCCACTGTAATGTGTCGGGTCTTGAACATTTTGGAACAGAAAATTATCTCTCAGAGTTTCTACAAAAAGAGTGGCTGGGTTATTAAGTCATTTGGCGTGAACTCATTTCTCCAGTTGATGTTGCCACAGTTAAAATCCCCTGTGACAAGGGGGTGGACTGGGGTTGAGCACCATTGTGTTCATAAGTTCCTTTGGTTTGGTAGGCTACAGTTTGGCTATCTGTAGATTCACCCGACAACAAGTAAGTCTCTCCCCTTTAAATTAATTTTACACCACTTTGATTCCTCAAAAACATCCTTCCCCTGTACCCGCACCTGGCTGGCTCTAAGGTCTTGCCTTGCATAGATAACCACACCCCTTTTGCAAGTTGCTTGAGAAAGGTTCGTAATTAAGTCATATCCGTCAATAATGAATTCGCATTCCTCTGGGTTGATTCTCCTGTTCTTGTATAACAGTTCTACAACTCCTACTGTATCGGGTTGATGTGCCTTCAGTAATGTTTCAAACTCCTCTCTCTTATTAAGGAATGTGTCGGTATTAGTATACTGTACTGTATATGACTTTCAAGCCGGAATTTGTTCTCGGTAACGTCTCTGCTCTTGGTAGTAACTCCGGCACCCCTCCATTATTAGCAGCTGCAGCATTTGCTAAGTACACTAGTTTGCAGGGTGTGGTTAGAAATGTTATTGTTTACACCGTGCTCGCCTCCTCCTGGCTGGGAGGTAGAGCTGGTGCCTCCTCCTTGGTGGGAGGTAGAGTGGGTGGAGGGTGTACTGCTGCCCCCTGGCTCTGTGCTTGAATATAACCTATGTACACCCATCCTCATTCCTCCCTGACTCCTCCCTCCTCTGTTTCAAGCCCTGTAGGAGCTTCTTGTGCTGTTCCCTCTGCATTGCGTTAAGCGAGGACTTACTGCATTTGTGAGTATGACCTAAAAATTACCTGGATTCCCTGGCATATATTAGTCGTTTGCAAGGGAAACGATACATCCCACTTGGACGATTCTTATTTGGACTGTTATTTGTTCTATGCGATTTAACGTTACGTGACCTAACCTGATCATTTAAATAAGATGGTAAAAATCTTGTTCAATCTGATTGGTGTAGGCTGATGAACTGATTACCAAGGTTACTAAATTCAGTCACTTGCAAATATGGTTAGGTTAGGATTTAGGTTGGCTTGGTATCTGTTGGATCAATCCGAATGAATGCTGGACAGATAGTGAAAGTAAATATAGGTCCACGGTGAGACAAATAATCACTTCTTATTACTGTAACAGCAAACAAACTGATCAAGTGAACAGGTGTAATATACTGTACAGCACCAAACAGTAGTACAGTACTGCATTGGTATTATTTCACTTGTTGCCACCGCGAGATATGCTAGGGGCTGTCAATTGGTTGAGAATATCCAAAGGAGGGCCACCAGACTGGTGCCTGCTCTACGGCACCGCAGCTACCCATAGAGATTAGAATGCCTGCAACTGCTTAGCTTATACTACAGACAGGCAAAGGATGACCCAATTGAAGTGTATAAAACATCTCGGATTGCAGATGCCCACCCCATAGGTGGTCACAGATCAAGGTTGAAAAAACCACAAGTCCAGAAAACTGTGAGGGCAAACTTTTTCGGAGTGAGAGTTGTGAACTCTTGGAACAATCTGCCAGAGTGTTGTGACGGCACCGAGTGTGAGCTCTTTCAAGACCAGACTTGACCATCACTGGAGCAGGTTCAGATACATTCAGGAGCCCGTTCATGCCCAGTACGTGCCAACAGTGTGTAACAGAATGTGACCGGCTGCCCAAGCAGCTAACGAGCCAATCATTGACGGAGAGGATAAAAGTAAAAAGATAATTTTATGGTTGCAATCAATAGTGTAGTCAATGCTAAGTGCTGTAGTATTTTCTCATGTATGTAAATATTGTATTAAAATAATTAATACTACTGTATTAGTACTGTATTTATATTGACAACTGATGCTTTTCTGCTTTTCTGATGATATGAGGGATGTGGGTGATGAAATTATAGTACCAAACACAATTTGGAAAAATAGTTTTAGAGGCGACAACTCATAGACAGTTACTGCAAGCAAAGTTTTCTTGATATCAAAATGTTGCCCCAACTACAGTATATAGTTTTCTTATGTGAGTATAATTTCCTAGTTTAACCAAAACGACCCCATGTGACGTTCCATTACATTCTTAATTTTCATGGCATAGTCTCAAGTCTAGTGTCCAGTTACCCACCAACTATCATGATGGATGCATGTCCTTTGACGACTTGTGACCCGCCTCACCCCTCCACTCCCTAGACAGTAATGATATTCATCAATAGTTGCTTGACTTGAGCGGCACTGATATACTGTAGTACAGTACTGTATTGGGGGACAAAGACAGTAATGGGGAGGGAAGAGACCCAGATGATGTTGAATTTGTTGACGTGGCCAGCGGTGAGGACACTGATACAGACAATGGTGCTCACTCCTTACCCCTTCAGTGAGGCTGTGGGCATAGGGAACCATATGCGTGCCAGCCACAACAGTATATTTGGAGTGATTGCACTAATTTTACAGCCAAAATACCAGTTTTCGACTGTTGATTTTAATTTTTTTTTTTCCTCTCCAAAATTTGCCCGCAGGGGGTCTTGTGAGTACAATGCATAAGTTATTTTGGTTTTCATGACAAGTTATGTTAACATTCATCTTTTGCACCAACATTGTATGTACTGTACTGAATTGTTACTCTTTTATTTCAGGTACAGTATTTTGTACTGTGCTAGAAAATAGAAAATGTCAAGACCTGTTAGAGCTGCTCCACCTCCCCCACCTGTCCGGAAAGGTAAGGCATAATTACTATAGGAGTTTTATGTTATATATGAAGCATTAATATTCTTGGTTTAATAATTTTTATGGTTATTCCTGATCAAGAGATATAAAAAATTTTGTGTTCATATACACTGTTGATGTATAGTGGCTAAAAAAAGTATCTGTGCATTCATTGTGTGAAGCTGTATGATACCACGGACGATAGGTATTGGGATATGCATGTTGTCTCCTTATACTATTTGAAAGTTATCACTTAACTCAGCTTGAGCTTAGAGAAATGTGAAGACAGATGTCACTTGCTTTCTTGCTGTACTTTTTACATAACCAAATACAGTATCTGGTGTGAGTGACTCTTGAGTGTGAACTCATTTAAGAGTGGACTTGACCAACTCTAGCACAGATTCAGGTACATTCTAGAGCTAGTGCATGACCAGTATGGGCCAACAGCATGTAACAGAGACAAGACAGACTGCCTGATTGACTGACTAAAATGTCAACCGGGGGTGAAGAGGATAAAGTAATGATGTATTACCCAATCAAGCCTGTGGGTTCAAAACCCAAGTTGATCCTTGAACCTAGTTTTTCATCATCAATAACATCTTATGGCCATTTTCCACACTTATGTGGGTTATTTGTGGTAACCTGATGGCGGCTTTCAGCGCTGCATGGTCTTTTGCAGGCTTTGGTATTGGGTTCTTAATTCTGATGTTATTTCTGTACTGTACTATCCTGCTGGGTAGTGGATAGTTGAAAAGTGGACTGGCTTTTCCAGTTGTTAGATAGTTGCTATACTGTACAGTGTGTTTCTGTGTACTGTAACTTTTTTTTTAAAGAAAATAATGATAAATATTTTTATCACACAGGGCAGGTGCAAGCATTTGAGGCAATCGCTAACTATAAAGCTCAGCGGGTGAGTACTGTAGTTAATAATTTCTGCTCTGTTATTAACATTTCTACATAATGAACAGTTAAAGGAATTATTTTTTGTTATTAAATTCTTATGGATCCCACCTACTGGGAGGGGGTACGGGGGAGATTGTAAAGCCACTATGATAGCAGTTGTGTCATTCACTTAAATATTACCTGTTATTGAATGATCATAACCCATAACATCTGTCATTTTTCACAGGTTTTGCCATTGGATGTTCAGTGTGTTAAGATCACTTGCCTTTGCCAGTGGCCTTAAAAGAGAATGTCATAATTTAGCCTACCCTTACCTTTTAGCAAAGATAAATTTTAGAATTTAGAGATTTAGTATTTCTTAATACAGTATAGATAAACACGTACTGGAGTTCAAGACTTAGTATTAAATTATCAAAATCTGTTCCAGGACTGTGAGTTATCCTTTGATGAGGGTGACCTTCTCTTCATAGTTGACCGCAGTGACCCAACCTGGTGGCTGGCAACCCTGGAGGACAGAAAGGGTTATATCCCTAGCAATCATGTTAAGTATTTTTAGTTATTTTCACCACCTATGGTAGGGGGCATTAGCCATCTGCTTATTTCATTTATCCATTCTTCCATCCATAATCCACCTGTCTAATGGAGGTTTTTTGCCAAGGCATGAGCAAAAGTTTTCCCAAAAATTGCCAGTTACTGGTGTGTTATATTATGCTTATACCTGTATAATATAAAATCTTTTTGAAGCAACATGTTATATAATTTATACCCAGTAAAGTAGACCCTTGATGTTCACAGATTTGGGATTCACAAATTTTGCTTATTCGTGATTTAGGAAATGTATACATCATCAACTCCATATTTGCAATACCTGACCTTTAGTATTTGTGGATTTCAAGGGATTGCAATCCATGCATCTTAGGGGCAAAAATATTATCTTTAAAACATGAAAAAAATCATAATTAACAAAATATGATTTATTATAACAGTACAGTCATTTCTGCTACAATGCGATAGTTGCATTCTTGTGAAACCTCGCTCTATAGAAATTTGTGCAATAAAATTAACAGGGTAGGGTTAGGTGCAGATGTAACCTAACTTAACTGGAAAGGAACTGAACTCCCCCTTACTACATTTATTTATATGGGGAAGTTTGCTTCATTATTCTTATAATCGTTATACTTGTGGCCATTTAAGAACAAAACCCATATGAACAATGAGGGCCCACTATTACATTAAGGTAATTTTTTTATCAATTTAAACTCTGTGCCATGTTTAGTATGTTGCATTCCATATTTTGATGTTTAAAAGTCAATAAATATTATAGAAGCACCACATAAAATACTCTAGTTTACTACTCGAAATTCTTTTGTTATATCACTACAAACATAGATCTCTTTATAATGATTAATATACGAGACTCTGGACATTGATGTCATATGCATTGACAAGACAACTGTTGTGCGTATTGTTTATCATTGTACACTCACGCGCTATAGTTTCGATGCACCCTCTACCCCTACTCCTGACTCGATGGAAGTTGTAGCCTTGGCTTCCTACCGAACATCCCCCACCCCCCCACTCACTTCCCCCACCCCCCCACTCTCACTTCTCCCACTCATTGTTCAGTGGTGCAATGTGGTAGCTCGAAGCTTTGCTGGATTGTACGAATAGCAGTTCATGATGTAATATTTGAGAGAATATATGCACGATACAGGTTTTTTAGTGTCTTCACAACACTCTATTTACCATCACTATACTTAACATCATTATACAAGAGGGACCGTTCACTTTGCATCCCTGACTACGACTTCCATCGAGCCAAGAGTAGCGGTAGAGGGTGCATCGAAACTATGGCGTGTGAGTGTACATCAATGGCAGTGCCAAGGGTGGCTTTATTTATATACTATATTCAATTATATGTACACACTGTATAGAAGTAAAACCTTAATTTAATGGACAAGTAAGGGAGAAGGGATGTCCATTAATTCTCTCAGCCCCCATATTTTTTTGACCAAAGTAGCTGTTTGAAATCCCCAGTCTGATGGTGTCATAACTTAATTTGTAGAAGGAGCTAAGTAAGTAAGTAAATGCTAGAGTAATCTGCAGTTAGAATGACTGACCGTTTATAAAAAATCCTAAGTAGATCAGCACTGAATCCTCGAGATGTTTCATTTCTAGAGAAATCTTGTATTCAGGAGATGGTATTACATTATGGTATCAATGAGGAAAATTTAAGTGTTGAGCTCCATCAAGGGCAACATCTTCTTGAGAGAAAAAACAACAGGGATCATAGTATCACTTCTCCACTTGCATTTGCTACTATGCTCAAGCCATACTGTGATGCTTACATAGATTTGCATAAGCTGATGTGTGCATCAGTGTGACTTTCCAGTTAATTCTGCAGCATGTCAATGCATTTTTTCCTGCCTGTGACAGACAAAAATGTACTTTAGGAACAGCAGTAGTGATGGCAGAACAAGTGATATTGCAGTTATATCTATAAATTTGAAAAGAGCCAAGAGTTTGAATGTTGAAGATATCATTGATGCTTTTGCTACCAACCACAACACTGCTATAACATTCCAGTTACCCTGAGCCTTTCCTTTGACAGTAGAATATAAAGTATTATGTTCTTGTTATGGGTCACAATATCATTACATTTTATTGGCCAAGTTGAACAACATTGCTTTTTAATGTCCTACATGCAGATGTAATTTGACATTATGATTATTCCTATTCTTTGTTATGAACTATTACAGTATTTTCTCAGTTTTGTGTAGTGTTAATGAAAGTATCTTTAGAAAACATTGCCATTTTTATTGGTATGTAACATACAATCATAGTAAAAATTATGTGCTTGCTCTGCAAACACTGCTTCAAGACAAACCCCCCTCCCCCCTTCCAGCCAGATTGCCACCCCTAAGTCCCTGCTATATAGAAATTCTGGAGCCACCACTGTTGAACATGTACAGTACATTAACGTTACTTTTTTGAGGAAAACTTTTAATTTTTTTGGTACCAGAAATGCATCTTCAATATACAGTATAACATTAAATATCCAAGATAGGTTGATTCAATTTACGATGGTAAATTAGTGGACACATCGGCATCGTAACTAAAGGCTTTACTGTGATATAAGCATCAACAAAAGTGAGAATAATTTATACAACCTAGCATCTTCAGTCAGCAGTATAGGAGTACAGTACTGTACATATGTTCAAAGTGTCTGCAATATATTTGAGTTTTTAGGACCTTCTCTTATAATTTATTTGAATTTATTTCATAAAAAAATCATTACATCCATGCTTTTAATATCTAGTAATGTATATTCTTACAATCAAATTTTGTTGGATACTACAGTAATTATTGAATTAATTGTACAGTGTAAATATTTCCTTAATTCTCTTTGCAGTTAGCAATAAAAATGCAAAGTTTCCTATTATTGATGCTGCAAGACGTGGCAATTTGGATTTATTGGAGGAATGTCTAGCAGCCGGTGTGTCAGTAAACGCCCTTGACAAGTCTGGTTCCTCATCTTTACATGCAGCTTCTCAAGGAGGACATCTTCACTGCATCCTGAGACTCCTAAAAGAACCTAAGCTTGAGATTGACTTACAGGTACATCTTATTTTGTGGGTTTTAGAGGACCTTAACATTCATTTACCATATCATCAGCATCATTTCATTCCCTTGAGTTTTCAGACAATGTGTTTGAGTGTGTGTGCAGTTGTAATGGAAGAATAGATGAAAAGAATGAATGTAGCACTGATGAGTGAAAAGGACAACAAAATTGAAAGGCAAAGAAGAAATATTCTAGGGAATAATAAAGGGCATATACTGTATAGCCAGAAGTACCGTAGAGGTATGGGATCATTTATCCAGCATTCCGGTATCCAGAAAGCTCCAAAAATCGGCTATTTTCTGGAACAAATTTAAAATGAGCTTTAAGTAATTCTCGGGCCAAACGGGGATATTTTCAACCATTCCACACCTGTGAGCTCTGTTATGTTGTGGTTATTTTTTTAATTCTTAATATCGGGTAGATATACATGATTTTTTTCATTTAGTTACACAATCAATCCTGCTTACAAAAAGAGAAAAAAAAATCAACAGGTTTCCACCTTGAAACTGTAGTGAGTGTGTGGAGAGGTCAGAGAGTCCGTGGCAGAGCACCGTTGTTAAGGTGACCACCAGGGGCGACTGTGACACAGTTTGTACACTAATTTCTATCAATTTAGCTCGCTTTATGCTTTTGTTAATGATTTTCTTTGCCTACAATTTTAAGTTTTAATGTTACAGTGTACAGTTAAAACTACTTTTAGGGGTGAATATAGTGATCTAAACAGAGTTTTCACAGCCATACAGGGTTTACTGTACATTTTGTAAATTTTAGGCCTGGCGCTCCAAATTCATGAAAAATAAACCCTATCCAGCAACCCCAGGTCCCAAGCATGCCAGATAAATGATCCCATTCCTGTATTTGAAAAGGTAGAGCAGTGTTGACAGATGATAAAATTTGTAGTTGCATAGTGGAATACATGTGGAAGTCTCAGAATGTTATGCATTTTACTGTAAGTGGGGTATGAGATTGTTTATTGTGAATACATACACTATAGTACTCTAGGGAGTAAGATATGAGAAAGGGGAAAAGTGAGATTTTAGATACATTGAAGACTTCACTGTGCGATTTATAAAAGGTTTAAATGTGAGAGTGGGTGAAAGGGACGTGGTTTTAAACTTGGGAATGTGCCAGGAATGAGTAGAAATTGGGAGAGACTGACAGCAATGTGCAGTGAGAGAGGATTGTTAATAGTGAATACATTACTATACTGCACATGGTTTAATTAACCGGAAGGAAATTTTTAAGTACGGTATATAGGAAGGCATGTCAATGGAGAAGATTTAGGTTTTTTAGGCTGTATTATTGGATAGAAGATTGAAATAGAAGATAAAGTATTCTAAAAGGAGCTGCATATTGAGTGTCTAAAAGAGATTAACTAAAGGACAGATCACTAAACTGAAACTATAATCCAATCAGCTTAACGTCAATTGTGCAAAGCACAAGTGGATTGATGACTATCATGACTTTACTGGTGGATGTTCTTGTCAAACAAATTTCCTATTATTCCTTTGAAAAATTTTTCAAAGTTGGATAATTATAATGATGAAGCAGGTTGCCCAGGTTTATGACGCTGTCCCAAGATAGATTCTAGCAAAGTGGTTTATTTTCATGAATGCCAGAATAAGATTTACAGGAATGTGGATATACATCCCACTTTTCATCTCTGGAAGTAAAGTATCAGAGGAAAATGTCTCGTATTCTAGAATGCATCTTGAGCTTATAGTGTTTGTTCTTAAGTATTTGTGGACTTAATTTAATCTTTCTGCTTTTGTGCCTGTCCCACCCTTTTGGCCATTTTGCTGCTTGACATCTTATGGCTAAACAGATTTGAAGCCACGGGATTCATTGGGTGCTTGGTCAAACCAATCACAAGCCACACAGGAGGATATTGGTTTGGTTATTTTTACATTTACCCATTAAACACCCTGTGTGCATATATTAGAATTCTTCAGATGTAAATAGTAATTTTTATATACTGTACTTATTTTTCTTCACAGAACAAGCTTGGTGACACACCTCTGCATTGTGCTGCATACAGAGGTCATAGTGAGGTAGTGCAATTACTTCTAAAACATGGAGCTAATACAAGCATTGTTAATAGGTGAGTCACATAAATTAAAAAAAAAAATCAGATATTAAGAACTCGGCCTTCATTTCTTCACTTAACCTATCTTGTGGAATGTATGCAGAAATAATCATCATTGGATATGAGATCCTTTCCTGCATCATGACTTGTAACACTCCCATGAATTAGGGTAAATTATGACTTCTAATCTCTCATTTTGAGTGATGATTGTCACAGGGGAGTAAGTGATCTGATTGCCCTGAGGGGTAGCACCCAAACGACTAAGAAAACAGCTGAAAGTGTACTATAGGTGTACAGTACACCACGAGAAGGTGGGGGATAGGCTACCCTACCTCCTAAGAATAAGGGTAGGGTTGATTGCCAGATAAACTTTTCCCATTACTCTGTAATATCAGTGAATAGTCGAGGTTTACGCAATAACACCTTGGATAAACCTTATTGGTTACGATTATGCGACCTCTCACCTGGTCACATAGCTACCCATTATTATCTTTCTTCCCATTATTTGTGTCTCTTATTAGATATACAGTACAAGGAATTTTATGACACTACTATATTCATTGAGTAAAACTTGTCATTTTCATAAGAAGTTACTATAATGTTTCTTATTTTTTTAAACACTTATTTTTCTCTATCGGAGCAGTCAATGTAAAATGTTCTTTGTCATTTAAGCGTTAACAAACAAAGTTGCACATAATTGATATATGGTACTGTATACTGTATTGTACTTGTATTTATAAAGAAGTTTATATGTATACTGTAGATTAATTTTATATTTGTAAGCATCACTCATTCTTCTCTGTTCTTGATATTAAAATTCAGTTTAATTTCTTAAAAGTTTCTACTTATCAATGTTCTTTGGTATTTAATGTGAACATTGTGCCAACCTGTGGTGTAATGTAAGGTTTCTTGCCTCACAAGTGAATGGTCCTGGGTTTGATTCCCAAGCTGGGTTAAACTGTGGGGAAGCTTCTTATAGCATTTGCCTCTGTCTACCCATCAGTAACTAGGGACCTGGATGTTAATCAGTTTTTGAAGTTGTCTGGTCCTTTTGTATTATTCTTTGAAACTGGTTCATACAGCTCGTTAATTTAGGGTGTAGTAGTTGTATTGGCGAGAGCTTGTACACCTTAAACAAATTCACGTCTTGGTGGTCCTAGGACTGGTCATCCTCGAACATGTGGACAACCATTATTATTATAATTAAAAGTGTTGAACATTTATTAATGATGGTTTCTTTTATACAGGGATAATTATACACCAAGGAACCTCGCCAAGAAGGGAACGGTTGTTAGTCTTTTGGATGAAAGCTCCCAAACAAGTGGCAGGAAATCCTCTGGCTTTGATGACAAAGACTATGGTGCTAATGATTCTGAAGATTCTGATGAGCAGATAAATTAATGTAGTTGTGTCTTGGTGAATATCTATCATTGTGTCAAATAGTGTACTAATGAGTGAAATGATATCATAAGATATTGTTTCATGAAATGCCATATGTAGTCAAAATGACCAGGCTTTTTATTTTTTATCAGTAATATTTTTTAATTAATATCCAGTTAGCTTATAAGGTAAATTGTTACAAAGTGAAATTTTTTAAAACTTATTTCATATCCCTATGTGACAGTTTTAGGATCATGTATATAATACATCTTGTTAAGAAATATATCATTCCATTTTTACCAAAGGTTGTAGTTTTTGTTCTGAAATATGTGCATACCCTGTACAGTACCATGTTTAGATGTATAGAGATAGATGAATATATAAACTATAGATCAAGCATCCTTTATCCTAAAACCTTGGGACCAGTTGCATTTTAGGTTATGACCTCTTATTTGACTGATGTGCTTTTTCTGCTTGTACCACTGCTATGTTCTCTTTTTCCATTTTTTTTTTCCAGTGAACATAATTCGGCTTAGGTATCCTTCAATATTTTAGGTACTGTTAACCCTTACCCCCCGGTGACGTTCCAGAACGTCCACCGATTCCCGCCAGTGTTTGAATGCCCAGTGCGGGTTATCAGGTTCCAGTGTGACTTTTTGCCTGTCACGCCACACGCTCGGCCACAGGGAAGCTTCCTGAACATAATTACCTACTTTTGTTTGTTTCAATTTCATTGTTTGTCCATTTTATCAAGTTGTATCAAAGTAATATTGCTAAAAGTAGTGTAGTTATATTGTAGTGTAGTATTACTGGAAAATAATGCTGTGATTATGTCATAAATTTATTTATTTTTGGAATTATTATTATTTATATGCATTACTTGCTCTACCAAACACAAAGACAGCCTGGCGACAGACTGTGTGTGTGTGTGTGTGTGTGTGTGTGTGTGTGTCTGTCACCGAGCACTTTTTATGAAAAATAATGCAAATAAAATAAATTATAAATGAATTATTTATAGGAAATAAGTATCATGATCAGTAAATATATGAATTACTGGCCATCCCAGACACAAAGACAAGCAGAAAATGGCCGTTAAGTGTGTAGCGACCACGAGCGTCAGCTATCAAAACAACACTGTCCCCTTATCTCCCTCCCACCTCCCTCTGCGTGGCCAGGGAAGTTTCTAGAGGGTCAATATACTCTGCATAGTTTTTCTTATTTATTTTTATTGTTTTACCATTTGAAAAGATTTAAAAAATGGAAAAGTTAATTTTTCTTGACCGGGGGGACGGCCAGCGGCAACCCAGTCCGGGGCATAGGGGTTAATGTTTGGTTTGATATACTAACATCACAGCATCACAGCTCTAGAATATTTTTAAAGTAAACATGATTTTGCCTTGGTAATCTTTGATATTACAGTGTAATTAAAAATTTATCTATGATTAGTGTGAACACAGAAGTTTGTGGGTTACAGGTTACGCTATATGGAGACAGTGACAGCATTTATCTTTGCTGATGTAACTTATTGTAACTGTTATAGGTTTCAGTGCAGTGTTTCTTATACAGTCAGTTCTGCTATAACGCGATAGTTGTGTTCTTGTAAAACATCGTGTTATAGAAATTCGCGTAATAGAAATAACAGGGCTTATGGAGAAAATAGGGTTAGGTGCAGATTACTACTCGATATCGAAAAAATTTTAGTAGTTAGCCTAACACAAAGGTTAGCACAGTCTAAATAAATGTTACATTCATATCTAATAATGAAATCATACAGTAAATGTAACACTTTACCTTGAAGAAATATGAATATAACTTGATGGGGGAGAAGGGTGATTTTGAGGTTGATAACATCGATCCTCTCTTCAAGTGTTATAGCCTTTGTTTTACGATCACCACCGGGAATGCGATCAACAGAACGCTTCTTGGAGATATTCTTCTTTACCATATTCACAGTTAATACCACAAAATTGGAGAAATAGTAAGCAATAATCGCGTTACAGCAAACAAGCGTTCGCGTTATACAAATATCGTTCCTCTATTAATAAATCGCGTTAGAGCCAATTCGCGTTGTCAAAACACGCGTTATAGCAGAACTCACTGTAGTTGTTTAATGTACTGCACTGAATTTGGTTCAGAGTGCTGGTGTGACGTGCCTTCTTACTCATATACAGTAGGGTCCATCCAAAACAGTTTTGAGTCTTTGGATCCTTTTGGTTTTTGGAATTGTGGATAAAGGATCCTTGACTTGTACTAAAGTTTTAATACAAAAGCTTAAGTTAATATGATGATACTTTTAGTCACTCTATGGGATGTTCTGTTTTAGCAAGAGGCCTTAACCTGATGAGGCCTTAACCTGACTATTGTCATACACTGTACTGTACAGTATTAGAACCTCAAAAATCCAGTTATAAAAAAACTGGTATATTTGAAAAATAATGATGGTATAAAGATTATTTAAAAAAAAAAATAGTGCAACTAGATCAATACCCCCCAAAAAATAGAATAAGAATAGTCCAGGCAAGGATAACTATTTTAGAGAAAGGTGTTGATCAGTAAATTCATAATCAATGTATAGAACTTTGCCAAATGGAGCAACAGACAAGCAAATGAAATCGTGTGGCTGTCATGTTATATATGTATTGATAGCAGTCAGGTGTGAAACCCACTACTGGACCCCTAAATCCTTCAAGGTATTACAGTAATGGAGCCACGATTCTGAGAAATTAAAATATTTGTTATCATTCTTTATGATATTTGTATTATTTGTGAGTATTATCCACATTTTTTCTTGCACAAAATTTTACTTGAACTTGGGGGATGGTAGTGTCCTAATTCCTCCAGGAATTACTGTATACGTAATGCTAAATTATCAGAATTATAACAGCAAAACAGTAACTCCCAATTTCCATTGAATTTTAGACAAATATTTTGTAAGTGGATGATAATGGTCATTTCTAATATGATTCTGCTATCACAACAACAAACAGTTCTGGATTTTGTTAGTGGACTTTATACTTGACCATAAACATTGTAAGAGCCATGGTTCTCATTTGAGTACTGTACATGTATTTGATTTCCCCCCCCCACACTATTCACATGTATCTCTCATCTCACTTTACTAATGAATCCTTGTTTTATTTACAAATTAGTTGTATACAAAGCTGTTTTTAGTTAAAGACAGCTGTATGAGCCAACTCTCCACAGCTGTAAGCCATCCACATAATATGTTAATTTGCTATTGGACACCACAAGCATTAAAGTGAATTAAAGTTCTGTTTGTTTTTTATTGAATAAATCATGAAAGAACTAGGTAAATTAAAGAAGCAATGTTATAGTTAACTAAGAAGTTGACCTGAAACATCACATTTTTGGATGCTTTGCGATGTAGTCCAATTTGTTTTGTAATTGTAAACCTTCAGTTCAATTGTGTACAGATACGTAAATAGGATTTCTGTCCAAAAAACACAGGCATAATCAATACAGTTTTATTACAACTCTGTGAAAGGTACAGACGATAGGGTTCAATCAAACTAATTCTGATTTGATTTAGAATGAAATATTGTCAGATTAATAAGATAGGTTGGGTTTATTGGTTGGTTTGTCTTATTTGTTGTAATTAATGGTTTTAGTTGCTTTTGTTTATAGGACTGTAGCAATCCTTTTTTTTTTCACATATTGTAAGTTCCATATTGTTCTGAAAAGGTGAATTTTTCGTAAGTACAGTAATAAATATTCTGTTATATTTTTTGTAGAGAAATGCTACTACAGTACAGTATTGTGTCTGCACTGAACATGGTCTTAAGATGGGAGGAGTGCATATAGGGTGACTGGCTTTATTCAGAAAATTGAAAGTCATGAATTCAGCACACTACCTTAACAGTACCAGATTTCTTACGTAATATTGCTCATTTATAATTACCATGTTAATCCTGTCTATATTGTGATATTAATGTTACCTTTTAATTGATATTTGCAAGGCCCAACCCTACAACTTTTACCCATTTTAATATTAAATAGATTATAGATTATCATATGCAATTGAATTAAGTCTTGACAAATTGGTTATATGTAATAGGGAAGATATTTAGTTTCCTTTTATAATGTTAATTGACCATGTTGAATGTACAGTAGATATATTTTCAAAATTCTTCTCACCTACAATGTGTGTTTGTACAGTGGTCACTGAATTGGTGCTGCACTTGGTGTACATTATCTTCATTTAGGAAAAAAAGAAAAGTGCTACACTGTTCATTAAATGAACTGCTTGTGTTAAAATTTAGTACTGTACAGGGGGTCCACAACTTACGAACGAGGTTAAACTTTAAATTTACAGTATTGTATTTACCAGATGACTTATTTTTTACTTTCATTTACTGTATTTTATCATTCTATTTCTTCTTTTCACTTAAATTAAGTGATTTAGATGTACATAAGGACTTACGCTATGATATAGTGGGATTTTAAACATTGTTCTGTAAGTACAGTGGTCCCTCGATTAACGATTGCAATTGGTTCCACAGTCGGTTGTTAACCAAAAATTTTGTTAACTGAATCTATTATTTTAATGGGATATTGGGTAATTGGTTCCAACTCACAGAAAAAGTATACGTACATACAAATTACAGTCTTTCCTCGACTTATGACGGGGTTCCGTCCCGACGACCAGGTCGTAAGTCGAAAAAGCAAAAATAATACATAGAAATTCTAAAATGAAATACAGTACATGTAGTTTACTAATTTAATATTTATTAACATATGGAGTGAATGAGATGTTAATTAATTACACTCAGACCAGACTGGACCACTCAGGTCTTACTTTACACATAGCAAAATAGATATTAATTTCTTGATTACAACATTACACACTCATTATATTACTTCATTGTCAATACAGATGATTACATAACACACTCGACAAGATCCAAAATTAACATATTATCAAACACATCCTGTTAGTTCGAAATGAACATGGCACTTTAACTAGCATTCAGTGGTAGTGTAGTGGATTTCTCCCCTACAAACGCTGTTTGTCGTTGCGTAGCTGACCCCACAAATTCCACAGTGTGTGCCTCGTGGTCTAGGTCAACCAGCGCTGCCTTACATCACGGAGCGGGGGTCAACTGCTAAGCCACGCCTACCCCCCGCTATTTAAGACCTGACCTCATGGTGACCTGTCTCTTTCTACCTACACCAACCAGCCAGCAACACCTCCTCCTCCTCCTCCGCCTGTCTGGCGGTCCTCGCTCCCGCCGGCGAGCATGGCGACCCACAAGCTGTCCTCCTCTGAGCACCCTCACCAACCAGCTCTCTCTACATCACGCTTGTAACCATGCTGCCTTCCCAGCACCAAGCTGCATTGTACATCCAATACAACATGTATATAGAGAGCACATTGTGAGTTTCCTTTCTCCAACCCATCCTGAGTGAACACCAAACATCTCATCCCCACAGTAGTACACCTGGTTGGTGGATTCAACTCCTATAACAACAGTACCGCTGGTAACACCAACATTCATGGGTTCAATACTTAACCTGGGATAACCATATGTCTCCTAATTATCACCAATCATATACAACAATAATACTTTGGCCCATATAACTGTAAGAAGTGCCCCAGGGTGTAAAAACAAACAAAGAACGCTGTTAAGGTCGGTTATATAGTCCGACACGGCGAAGGAGTTCGGGCCTAGTTCTCAGGGTGATCTTGTCCTCGGATTCTAATCTCGCCATATTAAAGACATCCTTCAAGAACCATCTTGCCCATACGCGGCTACCGAACCTCAGTAGTGGTGCCAACACAGACAGTGCCTGGAGATGCGTTGAGGAAGAGTCACGAACGTGAAAATGTCTAACTCAAATACTCATACTATACGTCTGGCAGCCATACAGACGACACTTACTTTACTCGAATTACTTGGCACATGATTACTTCACTATGTTAAAACATGAACACTGATATTCACAAAATCAACTAAGTTAAACTGACTTAACATGGCGGTGGGAAACAATCGTTCACATACCTGGAGATGCGTTGAGGAAGTCACGAACGTGTGAGTCTTCCTTGTGCATCCGTATATACATGAGCCTGGGGCAGTTCCGGCCCATGCATACATACCAGAAAGGCTAATTTCACCAACAACAGAAATTCTATTCACCCCGGTCGCTGTACACTCAGCTATGAAAATCAATCACTTTTATCCTCTTCACCAAGTCCCTGAGATGCTTATACACCTCAACTAGGTCACCCCTTGCCCGTCTGTAGTATAAGCTAGGCAAGTTCAGGCGCTGCAATCTCTCAGGGTAGTTGAGGTGCCGAAGTGCAGGCATCAGTCTGGTGGCCCTCCTTTGAACATTTTCAACCAACTGACAGTCCCTAGCATATCTCGGGGAGATTGAGTCTGTCAGGAAAAAGTGAAATGGACGTTAAACACGCACTAACAACTCTACTTACCGGAAGCCACAAACCACAGCCAAGGAATTCTTCCTGAGAAGAGCCGTTAGGTCTTTGAGATTTTGAGTTTGACAGAATCTTTTCAGGAGATTAATGACTTTCTGAAATAGACAACTGACACTAACTAAATTACAAATATCCGATTCTCTGATGTTTGGTCATCAAAATAATCTAACTTCAATAGCACTTTGAACTCATGGCTATCCCCAAGGACGATATAAGGATATGCCACTCATAGTGACAGAATTGACACTCACTTACTTGACAAGTTTTACTAACAATAAAGACAGTTGAAGCTTTCAACATCACTCACAATGGATCTTGAATGTTCCAATTGTAATCAGACATATCTAATATGCCTCAACAATTGCAAACACAATTGCAATTTCAAATTCTGTCATTATATTCAGGAATAACGAAGTTCCGGGTGCACTCTAAGATTGAGAGAAAACTAAGGACTCAGGCGTCCTGAAGCGATGAGAAAACGGACTCCTTCGACGGGGGACTCAAATAAGGAAAGCACAGCTGCATGTTTTGTGGACTATTGAGCGTAATATGAATCGTCTGAATTTACGTGAACTGACGTGTACGACCGTGGTCATTACAGTAACAGAGACCTGACCGAGTGGCTGGCAAACCGATCAGTGGCGAAGAAGGTGGTAAAAAACATAACAAATATTAGTAGTATAATATCTACTTATCCTGTTTTTGTTCGTATGACGCAATTACTTTAGTTGTAACTATATCCTGTATATAAATATACAGGCTAGAGGAGCTGACAAGTGGCTAAGAAGATAAAAGCTAACAGACAATTGAGTAATATTAAGATGACCTTGTGATGTGACCGTCATCTGCGGACGGCTCCTCATAAAGTCGTGATAGTGCATATGGCACTAAGGTGACTTGTTTGTGCCACACAATACAGGGTGCCTGTTATTAAGTATTAAGTGTAATATGTTGAATTTGTACCGTTACAGTCTATAGGTCTCAGTGTCTTACGCAATTTCCATATTAATATGGAAGTGGTAGGAATAAGTGTTAATATGTAGCCGCCACATTATTGTTACTAATTTCTTGATAATTCACATTTTATTATCAAACGATAGCAAGCCTTTTTGAAATGCTAAAACATGCTCAACGTACTGGCAAAGTTAGATACATTAGCTGTGCTTATTCATATTTTGAATATTTCTTAATTGTGTATGGAATATGCAGATTCAGGGGTAAGTTCTGAGAACAGCACTACCACAGAAAGAGCTGTTCGATTTCGGTTTGTTTTCCACATATTCTTATCATTATAGTATTTTAAAAGACCCAACAACTTTTTATTTTAATTATATATATATATTAGTTTTTCTCTATCGATGATAAATCACCTGTAGTGGGTAGGGCATGAAGGATGAGGGAAATTGCGGGGTAAAATACGGTTAAAAACTGATATGACACTAAAATGAGTCACTGCGTGTGTTGTACATGAAATAATTGTTTACCGTCAATAGTTCTTCTCAAGTCACTGCGTGTCGTCTGTTTGGTCCTAGCTTACTCTCACGTCCACTAAAATCGTTAAATTATACCATGACGCTTCAACAAACTTGCTTTCATTGGTAACAAATATCAAAATAAGTACTTCCTATGTAATATAGCTGGGGGTTCGGGAAGCAGAGTCCCCCGTTTGGAAGTTAGGTCAGGTTTGGTAGGTTTCCTTGGTTGGTTAGGTAAGGTTTGGTAGGTTTCTTTGGTTGGTTAGGTCAGGTTTGGTAGGTTTCCTTGGTTGGTTAGGTAAGGTTTGGTAGGTTTCTTTGGTTGGTTAGGTCAGGTTTGGTAGGTTTCCTTGGTTGGTTAGGTAAGGTTTGGTAGGTTTCTTTGGTTGGTTAGGTCAGGTTTGGTAGGTTTCCTTGGTTGGTTAGGTAAGGTTTGGTAGGTTTCTTTGGTTGGTTAGGTCAGGTTTGGTAGGTTTCCTTGGTTGGTTAGGTAAGGTTTGGTAGGTTTCTTTGGTTGGTTAGGTCAGGTTTGGTAGGTTTCCTTGGTTGGTTAGGTCAGGTTTGGTAGGTTTCTTTGGTTGGTTAGGTCAGGTTTGGTAGGTTTCTTTGGTTGGTTAGGTCAGGTTTGGTAGGTTTCTTTGGTTGGTTAGGTAAGGTTTGGTAGGTTTCCTTGGTTGGTTAGGTAAGGTTCTATTCGGTTAATATTCGTTTGTTGGATGTGTTACTTCAGTTTTGGCAGTGAAAATCTTGCCATGACCAGCAAAGTTTCTACTGTATTTTATTTGTTTTTGTGTTTTTTGGTTGTTGAGCAATGTGTTTTTCCGATGTTAAAATTCATGGTTATCCACTTGTAAAAATTTACCGTTTTTACTAATGCTATTTTATCGTGAGTGAGTTCTGATTGGCTAATTGTCCATTATCGGCAAACAACGCGAGAACTATATTTAACCGTAACTCTGACAGCAGTAAAAAGCATTGGGCATCTATTTAGCTGTGAGTCGATCGTTGTGTAGCAAAAACATACCTAACCATATTTCTGTTGAGCATGGAAACTTATCATTATACTTTTTACTTTTACTTATATCCTCTTCACCACTGATTGGCTCATTAGCTGCTTGGGCAGTCGGTCATGTCCCTGTTACGCACTGTTGGCAAGTACTGGGCATGCACCGACTCCTGAATGTACCTGAACCTGCTCCAGTATTGGTCAAGAAAAGAAGCAACATTAACTAGAACCTAACTTCACCAACCAAAGAAACCTACCTAACTTCCTAGTCCGGGGGGGCAAACCCCTGTTATGTTGTAGTGGAAATTTCCCTTACAACTACAACTGCCGTTTGTCGCTGACTAGCCGATTCCTTTTTGGGCTACTATCGACGCCTAACAAAGCGAGGTCAGCTATCAAGCCACGCCTACCTCCGCTATATAAGACCTCACCTCGCCATGAACGCTCTTCTTCTACCTACAGCCACGCAGCAAGCAACAACTCCTCTGAGCAAGCTCCTCACCAACCAGCTCTCTCTACTCCACACTTCCGAACCAGCAAGCTCCTAACCACGCAGCAGCTTCCCAGTACCAAGCTGCACTGTACATCCAATACAATATATGTGCAGAGAATGCATTTTGAGTTTCCTTTCTCCAACCCATCCTGAGTGTGAGACTACATCTCGAAACCCCACAATGTTAAAAAGAAAGTACTTAGCCAATGAGAGTGCATTCATGGTAAACAGCGTTAGTAGGAACTTAACCGGTCACGGCAAAATATCCACTACGTTCAGGTATAAGAAGAGAACAATACATTAAATTCTTTGCCCGTTACTCATTTCAAGCTGATTTTATGGACCAGAACACTGTACTCCACCAATTTTTTCTGCAGATCGCTAAGTTTTATCCAGTGTTATTTTAGTTTGTCATCCAGGGAATCTTAGGAATTTAGGTTAGGTTGGATATTGTTCCTGGGTTCTGTGGTTAGATTAGGTTAGGTTAGTTTAAGTCAGATCAGATCAAGGTCATTCAAAACATGTCAAAAACTGTCGGAAAAACATGGGGATTGCCGAAATTAAAATATTATCCCTTTTCCTCCTTCACAGTAACAGGTAAGCTGTTATAATTTAGGTTAGTTTTCAACAGTGCTGATCCATGTGGAGGTTAGTTTAGGTTAGGTTTGGTTTCAACAGTGATTTGGAAGTTAAATTGTTATGAGAATAGGTTTTTATGGTGTGTTTAGATCAGATTTGAGTAAAACAAACAAATACACCAAGAAGAACCTATTCTCATGAAAAAGAAGCCACAGCCATTAAACACATATTTATCTGAACAATTCCTTCTGGTGGTAGTGCTGTTCTCAGACATTACCGGTTCAGGAATATCAGTTTTATTTCAGTAAAGTTATGAATAATATTTTAAGATGGGTCTGCAATGCCGATTTTGGTTAATATTGATGAAATACCCGTCACAGCCTAATTTGTTTTGATAGATCTTTTCTTACTGTATTTTCATTGCTGAGTTCAGTAGATATTTAGACCCTAAGCTCTCAATGGTGGCACTTTTTACTTACTTTTATCCTCTTCACCAGTCACCCAGTCATCAAAACATTACCGAGTTCTTCACCCGCCACCCACTACAGCCAGCCCAAGTCAGTGATAGTGAGGATATGGACTTTGAGGGGTTTGACAAAGAGGCCCTACAAGCCTCTGTGGTGGATAGTGATACAATTGATACAAGTGCTACAGGTGAGGGCCAATAATCTGCCCTCTGCCTCGGAACCAATCCCCCATCCCCGTGTGCCCAGCCATCTTTTCTACTAACGTAAGTGTTAAAAAACCTAATATTATTGATATTTTTCTTAAATATTAATTGTGTGTGCATACCAGCATAAAATTAAGATGTTATTTTTACTACAACGTACGTATTGTGTCGGAAAAAGTGGAGTTTGGGAGTCGGCCCAGTCTCTACTTCAATTAATCCCATATGTTCTGTTATTTCGTTTACGCGTTTCTCGTTTTACTCGGACCTCCACGGGTTCAATTGACCGCGTAAATGAAGACTATACTATATATATATATATATATATATATATATATATATATATATATATATATATATATATATATATATATATATATATATATATATATATATATATATATATATATATATATATATATATATATATATAATCTGATGCAGTTGTTCTATATATTTTAGTTCATAAATGTGTTCAGTCTACAATCAAACAATATGCCTGCTCCTTTTGGCCTTAAGGAAGTTCGTGAAGCTTATATGAGAATCAGTGGATGTGTACATAGAACACCTGTGCTCAAGAGTCAGAACCTTGACAGCCTTGCTGGCAGGCAGCTGTACTTTAAAGCTGAAAATCTTCAGAAGACAGGATCTTTCAAAGCCAGAGGTGCTTGCAATGCGGTTAGTGTCACTTCCAATTTCATTGATAATATTGTGGGAAGATTAAATAATCAGTAGACTGTTATAGAGAAAGTTTTACTATTTCATGCTTCTTTACATAAACCATTCTTACCTTATGGCATTGACCAGTATCTTTATTTCTTTTTTTGACTAGGGAAGAATTTTTATTTAACATGGGAGACTTGTTATCTGATTCCCATAGAACCTTGTATTAGGTCACATTATCAAAAAGCCAATTACAATAAACCTTCTTAGTACAGGTAATGGAATTGGCCATACTGTTCCAGATATTCCAAATGGGAACATTGACTGCTACTTTGACAACATGGTCAGTTGGTGCATGTTGGACCTTGCAAGATTCAATACAGTTTAGTATCCTAAAAATCCTAAATCCTCAGAATTCAGTCCCCAATTTCTTAACTTTTCACTTTTGATTCCAGATTTTACACTTTCCTCTTCCCATGCACACACCTTAGTTACCCATTTAGTTCATTGCCAATTTCTTTATTTCATCATCAAAAATAATTTTTCCACTTTTACATGAGACCCTTCAAATTTTTATTTCTTTAATGAGCTGTTTAGGCATAGCCCATTATAAGTCTAATTTAGTTTCATAGTACAGTAATATTTTAACATAATCGCTCTATATTTACAGGTGCTTTTAGAGAAGGAGAAAAGACCTAACAGTCCTGGAGTGGTGACACACAGCAGTGGTAACCATGGCCAGGCTGTAGCATATGCTGCCAGTAAGTCTGAAGATTTAATACAGCTATTGAAAATTTCTTAGGCATATCCTGTGAATGGAACATATTTTCTAAAATACAATATACTTTTAAAGTTAGGTAGTTTTCTATATACAGTTTTCTCACAAAAGAACTATACGTAATTAGTTTCCTATCGTTCCTCATTTGCATAGCAAAGGTGATTTATGAACCTGTTTGGGGACACCAGCCTCCTCTCCCTCTCCATCACATTGCCTTCTAGTGGGTAAGAGGTTATCTATGAGCTAAGCTTTATCCTTTGAAATTTAATTACTTGTATTTTACTGTATATTATAAAGACAATTATTAACAACTTGATTGAATTGAATTTTGTAGGTAACCATAAAATTCTTCTGTAATAGACTAAGGCTTAAAAGGCTTGACTTGTTTCTGGTGGCATGACCGAGATAACCTTCAGTATATGGGCTCATACAGCCAACCTACCATCCTTAACATTGTATCTTTGGTGACTATGATGTAGGATGAATTTAGGGGGTGCTTTGTAAGGAAAAAGTAAACATCTTTATACACTCGCAAATTTCAGTTTTATGCAGGTGAACATGCAAAATCATATTCTGCACCACTTCCAGAACATCTATAGTTGTTCCTTGTCAAATGTGTGCACAGTGTGAACCTGCCCTTATATGTGAAATTATTTGTGACACTAATTTGCACATCATGAAGGCAAGCATGATGACACTTGAGTTAGCGTGTGATGTCACATGACCATCAATTTGTAATTGATCCACACCAAGTCTCAAAAGCCCAACTCCTCTCCCAGGGAGTAACAACTTGGTTAAATATCTCACCTTGGGTGACTTTCTTGAAGAACAACGCTTTCCATGAGTGCCTTTAGTGTTTATTGGTATTTTATTAGCTGTGTAGTGTCCTTTTAGACTTTTTGGTTTAGTAGGACTCTCTGGATTTTTAAAGTCCAGGGAGGATCCTTTCCCTTGATCTTGCCGCGGGCTAGCTGGTTTTTTGTACTTTTGTTCCCCAAACCAAAAATTTTCTGTGGCATGTCCCCTACATTTGCAGATTTTGCAAAAAGGTGCCTTTTTGGGTTTGGTTCCGGTGACAATTTGTAGATGTTCCTTAGAACTGGTTACGGGTGCTACAGACAAAACCTTAGGAGTATTTTCCACCGGTTCAGAAATTTCCTCCACGTAGTCTACAAGCTTAGTCCCTACTTTATATTCTTTCTTTATGGCTGACTTGCATGTAGGTTCATGTAGCGCCATAATAAACTGTAGGAACTCAATGATATTGTAGAAATTTTCTTTAGGTAATTTTTCTTCGTCCTCAAACCAATTTGAGGATGCCATGTAAGTTTTGAGATCTATCTTAGTGTGTCCGGCTAAAGCCTGTGCTTTTTTGCGTCATTTGCAAATACAGTTACTTGTACGCTCTGCCATCCTGAAAATCTAAGTAAGCGCACCTCCTTTGGTACCTGACCCGAAAAAGGATATGGATTGTTTCCTAAACGTTGGATAGTCATCTGTTGCCTCATCAATGGCAGACGCATACATCATACTATCTGCCCCACTACCGGTTTTCATGTTGCTTTGAACGTATGAGATTTTATCCTCATCGTTAGCAACATTATTGTTTCTCATTACATCTTCGCACTTACGCAAAAATGTTAAGGTATTATAATCTGCATCTTCTGCAGTAAATTTTTGTACCTTATTGTTATTTTGAAGTACTTTTACAGTTTGACAGACTAATGAAGTCTGTGGGTTAGTAGAGCCACCTGTTGCCATTTTTGTTATGTTAGTTAAAGCACTAGCATTATTAACAGGTAAAGGCAGTGGGTAAATGTTACCTGACCTAAGGAGTCTACTGTGTAAGTCCTCGTACTGAGAATCTATGAAATTTTCACAGCTAGCTAAGGAGTCAGTAGGTGTTAACGCTACTGTATTTTGCTAAATTGTAATAATTCTTCACTTCCGGTATCAGTTGCCACTAGCTCCTGTGAATTTGTAGATAACTGACCATCTGAGTCTGAGTCACTAATTTCCTGTTTGCAACCCAAATTTTTTTAAAAAGGGCCCATAAATAGGAATATTTATCACTTCACTTGCAGCATAACAGTCACTACGTTACTCACTCAAGGAGTAATGCAAAAATATTTATATTGAGTTCTGGAAATGAGAAAAATATAAATATTATTAAAAAGTATGAAAAGTATGTAAAATTATAGAAAATATATATACTTTTTGTAAGTCCTCTCTTACTTTCTAAATGTGTTTATTTAGTTTTGCTTTTAAACCCTTGTGCAAATAGCTTATATTTTATATTGACTACATGTGAAGACTTCTTGAAGTTCACTTGTGTTTGTGTAGTCTATAAAATAATGATTGTTCGTGATCTACCTGACCGAAGAGTCCATAGAGTTTTAACGCTGGGTTATGACGTGAGAAGTTGATGACGTCCTACTCTGGGAAGGATGATGTAACACGTCTTGTGGCAGGTAAGGATGATGTCACACACGTTTGCGGCGATCAACCTGGGGGGCTGACGTGTTTTGCGGCGATCAACCTGGGGGCTGACGTGTCTTGCGGCAATCAACCTGGGGCTGACCTGTCTTGCGGCGATCAACCTGGGGGGCTGACCCATCTTGCAGCGATCCACCTGGAGCTGACCTGTCTTGCGGCGATCAACCTGGGACTGACCTGTCTTGCGACAATCAACCTAAGGGCTGACCTGTCTTGCGGCGATCAACCTGGGGGCTGACCTGTCTTGCACACTGGAGAGGCTTGATTGTTTAAGCAAGAGGCTACTTGCTTGTCTGGAACCACGATGACAACCTTCCAAGTACTCCTATGTTGTAGTGCTGGCTGCTGGATGGCTACACTAAGACAACATTCGGTTGGGCTTGGTTGATCTCGGCTCCAGATGGGTGACCATGAGTTGTATGCTGGTACTGGGGGGGTTAACTGCTGGGTCTGCAAGTCTTTATATTGTCTTTGTTACCAATATGTTTCTGTGTATACGTTTTGCAAATGTTTATAACCACTGTCCACTTATATTACTTGAAAATGCTTGTTTGTTGATGATTCACTTAAAGTGCCATTTGTGTCACTTAGGTCACTGGGTTCATTAATAATTATTGTTTCTGCATACTGCACTGGTTTTTAGTATTTGTCTCACTGGCTGCCACCAATATGTGATAGCTGTTTTGGTATCACATTAATTGTTTTAAATAAGTTCTGGAACTCTTTTAAGTGGCAGGGCTTGATGTAAACACTTCTTGCTGTTTTCTTTTACAGTATTGACAAAGCAAATATATACACAGTTGTAATCTGAGAGAATAAATTCTGAATTCTCTCCAGGGAAGTGCTGTGAATGCACTTTGAGAGAACACTTGAGTTACGTGCTCTTCCCTGATCAAGTGGTATAGATCTGTTCCCTCCTCTGAGCGTGAAAGAGGAGAGGACGAGGCGTGAGAGCGAGCTAGCTGTTTTGATTCATCAGCTGACCTACGCTCAACCTCTGTGATAGTTACAAAGTCAGCCGTGAATAATCGTCAACAACTGAGTCATTGTTGAATAACTCGGTGAATAAGTTGGTGTTATTCATTTGGGTGAATATTTATATAAAGCAAAGGTACTGTTACAAGTAGACAATCCACCTAGTCCTGCCTCTCTCTCATTCTCCGACTATTCATCCTCTCCCAACATCCACCTACATCCATTGATATGTTAAAATTACTAATTTTTAAAACGTTTTAATAACGTGTCTCAATGAACCACTTTCAGTGAAATGAGTGTGCGCGTGTGTATGTGTGCAGTTACCCAACCATGTGGGTAGGTAGCCTGTGTTGCGTCAACTCACCGACCCCAAATGAATTTAAGTACTATAATAATACTGTATATCCATTAGCCGGAATCCCTCAAAGCCGGAACTCTCTGATAGCCGGAATTAAATTTTTCCGAGGGGCTTATTTTCTGGAAAATTTCCCAGTACCTGGAAAATTCCGGGGATAGGGGACATTTTTCCGGGTTTGAGAGATCATGTACTGTAATGCGCACATTCTGGAACATGTGAGAATATTTTTCCATTACCCAGAAACTTCCGGGGATGAGGGATTTTTTTCCGCCTTTAAGAGATAAAATAATGCATCATTCTGAAACTAACGAGAAAATTTTTCCGTTACCTGGAAAATTCCGGGAATGAGGGATTTTTTCCAGCTATGAGAGAGTCATCTCGTTACCCGGAAATCTCTCAATCCCGGCAGTGCTCTGCACCAGTTGTTCCGGCTAACAGAGATATCACTGTACAGTACTGTACCTTAAATAAGTTATAAAGTTAAATAATATTTTAAAATAATGTGGACAGTAATCAAATGTTTAACAAATATTTCTAAGGTATATAACTGTTAAAAGATACCAATTTAACCCCTACGCCCCGGGCTAGGGTGCTGCTGGCCGTACCCCATGCAGGGTAAAACGAGAAAAATCAACTTCTCCAAAAATATTTTTTAACCTTTTGAAATGATGAAACAATCATAAAGAAATAAGAAAACTATTTATTGACCCTCTAAAAACTTCCCTGGGACCTCAGTGGCGGGAAAATGGTAGCGCGGAGCGAGGGCAATAAGGGGACAGTGTTGTTTTGATAGCTGACGCTCGTGGTCACTACACACTTAGCAGCCATTTTCTGCTTGTCTTTGTGTCTTGGATGGCCAGTAATTCATATATTTACTGATCATAATACTTATTTCCTATAAATAATTAATTTATAATTTATTTTATTTGCATTATTTTTCATAAAAAGTGCTCGGCGACACACACACACACACAGTCTGTCGCCAGGCTGTCTTGCTGTCTTTGTGTTTGGTAGAGTAAGTAATGCATATAAATAATAATAATTCCACAAATAAATACATATATACCATAATCATAGCATTATTTTCCAGTAATACTACACTACAATGCAACTACAGTGGTCCCTCGGTTAACGAGCGCCTCGGTTAACGAGATTTCGGTTAACGATTTACCTTCCATGAGATTCTTAACTTCGGTTAACGAGCAATCCCTCGATTAACGAGTTTTTTACTAGCCGACTTCAACATGTTTTCGCTTGCATTTGGCGGTCCACCAGCTGTAGTATTAGTCCGCCAATACAGTAATCGGTTTTAGGGCTTAAATTCCTTACTATTTTAGTAAATATCAAGAAGTTTATACTATTCAATAATTTTAAAAGTTTAATATTAACTTTTTTAGTCATTTTAACAATTATTGAGCATAATTGAAGGTAAAGAAACTAGTTTCTGGCATGCCATCCAGCCTGTTAACACACCAGACAGGCGTTAGTCTCTCTCTGTTTTCAGTGGAGGTAACATCTTGCTTGAGACTCTCTTCAACTAAACGCTTTTTTTCTGTGTTTCCAAGCAAATTATTGGTCATTTTGAAATATATTTTACATATTGACAATATATAATGCAGTGCAGTGTTGATTTAAAGAAAATAATCTTGAATTACACCAAGAGAACTAAAATTTTATGGGTGAAATGGCACCATGGGGTGACTTCTCTTCCACCCCAATGCCTTCTCTTCTTCCTTCTCCTCCACCCCCATTCTAATTCCCATCATCATCATCATCCAGGAGCCTTCTACATACACACCTCAAAGTAAGTGTACTTTTCTACCTTTTTTGTTGAATTTAGGCAATTTTTGGTGAGCTGGAACCAATTACCCAAAATCCCATTGAAACAATGGTTTCGGTTAACGAGTTTTTCGGTTAACGAGCAACCTGCTGGAACGGATTGTGCTCGTTAACCGAGGGACCACTGTACACTACTTTTAGCAATATTACTTTGATACAACATGATAAAATGGACAAACAATGAATATGAAACAAACAAAGGTAGGTAATTATGTTCAGGAAGCTTCCCTGTGGCCGAGCTTGTGGCGTGACAGGCATATAGTCACGCTGGAACCTGATATCCCATGCTGGGCGTTCAAACAATGCTGCCAAAAGGCGAGCGTTCCGGAACGTCGACCGGGGCGTAGGTGTTAAACTTTTTGACTGTGATTTACTATGGGATGGTCATGATTAGACCATATTCCTATTAATTTTTATGGGAATTAATTCTCTTTTATCTGATGAATCACTATCCAAGGCTTTTTTCTAGTCCCTATTAAGCTTGGATAACGAGGACCTCCTGCACTTGTGTCAGGGTTGTATTGAAGACCAAATCTTTTAAGTTTAAGTTAGGGGGCCATCTTCTGCATGCATAATATTTCTGTGTTGGCACCACATGGTGTACAAATAAGGCCCACACCATGCTTACCTTCTATCTGAAAACATCCACTGCTTAACGTGGTACAGTCCACATGCTCACAGATAGTTGCCGTGGTATTATTTAAATGTTTGCTCATGCTGTACACATGTACCACAAAACAAGATTTTGGTAAAGAGAGGGTTAAGGGCACCCAAAATTTCAGGTTGCCTGGGGTGTCGACAAACCTAGAGCTGGCCCTGGCTAATTGCAAGTTAATAGGCTACTATCATTTTCCTTGTCACACAGCATAGCAAGAAGGATCTTGTTGATTACTTCTCAACTGGAAAAAATTTGTGCATTGACTTGAATTTTTTTCATATACCTGTAATAGCATTGTGATATAAATAAACATGTTGCAGTAATAAAGTATTTTAGTAAAAAAAAATTATTGTTCAATAAATTGAAGCTGTGATATGTGAATTTGTGATGGATAAAGACTACACACACAAAAGGGGACTTCACAGGATTAATAGTTTTCTTCTTTCTGTCAGGATGTGCTGGCCTCCCTTGCAGTGTAGTTGTGCCAAAGGGAACTCCACAAGTTAAGTGTGATGCTATCAGAGACTATGGTGCTGAACTTGTTTTTTGTGAAGCTTCACCAGCATCAAGGTTAGAGTGAAATTATTTGCTTTTTAATTATTATACTGTACAGTAGAATATCAATTATCCAAAAAGTTTGGGATTGGACGTTATTTAGAATACATTGATAGCCCCATTAGCTGGAATAATTGGTGCAGAGTGGTTCCTTTGTCACCTCTCAATCCCCGTATGTGCTGAATGACTGGGATTCTACTCTATATTGTTGCAATATTTATGATAAAATCCTAGCATGAAGTATATTATAAGGAATATTTCTTATCTTCATATCAATGATGGATCAGTTTTTGAATGTGTATTCAATATGAATTTTGTTTAGAGCTATGTTGTTATTGTCATGTCTGCAGGCTGCTTTACTTACTATAGCTTGATGTTGTGTGACCACTGGCTAATGTTGTTATAAATCTGACTTCTCCTTTATATTCTGAGATGTATAGGGACACACACACACACACACACACACACACACACACACACACACACATATACATACACGCACACACATTATATATTACCTGTATATGGTTTGCTTTATTTAGTAAACATTATATTAGCATCACTCCTCATCATTCATCAGTAGGGTTGTCGGCTCATATTAATGAATTCCTTCCTATTTCGTTTGTCAACTCCCGACCAGAATCATTCTGCTTCGTTACCAGTTCCACACTGTTGTTAGTGGGGAGGTTTGGTACAGCAACTCGCCATCGTGTAAGGGTGAAACTGTTTGCTCACGAATTCCTGACCCCGACAGAACCTACACTCTCTACACACTTGCATTGACTGTCCACTCTGCTATGTACTGTTGGCTTTACTCCTGCATTTACAATCTCTCTGCCTGAGGTGTGAACTCTGAAGTGTGAATTTGAAGCATTTGCTAGTGAGCGGGAGAGAGACTGGAGGGTTGTGTCGGTGTAGGTGTCTTTCTGTTGGGAGGAGACGAGGTACATGTACTGGGGGTGTGGAGGGAATGTATACACTATAACAGTATATCAGTTGGGAGAGATAAAAATGCAGAATCGCACTTTGACAATACCAAAGGTGTTTCCTCAGCTGAGTGTAATCATCTAGTGCTAGCCAAATGAAAATAATAAAATTATAATAGGAAGAGAGAGGAATGAAGTAAGATGTTCCTTGGCAAAAAGGGACATTTATGAGCAAATGGATTATGGATATGTTTGAATCTATATCTTGTAGAAGCAGCTAAGTTTTGTTTAACCCCTTGACTACGAGAAGGAACTTCCCCAGCTGACTAAAATTGTCTGACGGTAGCCTGAATAAAATAGATACGAAGACATTGTAGTGAAGGGATTATTCAGTTGTACGCCAAACAGTGCGGTTAATGGTAAAAAAGATGACATTATTATTAGTATTATTATCAAATGTGTAACATATTATGCAAAGTGATTATATGATTCTGCTGTAAAGCAATGCACACCTTTAGGGATGTGCAGGCTCCTTAATGGCATTTCGGTGTGGTGTATCTCGCAGCTTATCTCCTCAGTCATTAAAAGGAATTTCATGCCACACTCTTTTGATTTTCCTTATATCTAAGACGGCTGCTAAATACCTAAATAAAGATTACATTGAGATATAAACTGCCTTTTTACTGCAAACCTTGAATACCTATATACTGTATTTGGGCTTATGAAGCTCCTTTTTTACAGAAATGAAACTTGTGCAGAGATTTCATCAAAGACAGGCAGAGCTGTCATCCATCCCTTTGATAATTTTGATGTTATGGCTGGTCAAGGAACCATTGCATTAGAACTTCTTGAAGAGGTATGATTATGGTAATAAGAAAATTATTAAGAGGATGAGCAACAAGTCAATACTGTATTACTGTTGTCATTTTATATGGTTTGCAGGAGTGTAAATACATTGTATACTTTATTTTCTTTTACTTTTATCCTCTTTGTCACTGATCGGCTCATCAGCTGATTGGGCAGTCGAATTTGTCTCTGTTACACACAGTACCCAGCATGTACTGGCCCCTGAATGTATCTGTATCTGCACCAGTGTTGCTCAAGTCCGGTCTTGAAAGAGCTCACAATCAGTTTTGTCGCGTTGTTCTCTGACAGATTGTTCCAAGAGTTTATAATCCTCACTCCAAAAAGTTTGATCTGGCAATTTTCTGAATTTGTGGCTTCTTCAACCTTAATCTGTGACCCCTAGTAGGGTGGGCATCGGCCTGCTTCAGGTATGAATGCTCAACTGAGTACAGTGCTGCCCTCTGAGATGTTTAAAAACTTCAATTAAGTCATCCCTTGCCCACCTATAGTATAAGCCCCCAGGCCCCATTGTGGGTCGATGACCTGTGCCCGGTTGGGCTATTCTCCATAAAAAAAAAAAATAATAAAAAGTATTCTAATCTCTCTGGGTACATGAGGTGCCGTAGTGCAGGCACCAGTCTAATGGCACTCCATTGAAAATTTCGAATTGACTGATAGTCTCTAGCACATCTCGGGGACCAGACGGGGTGACAGTACAGTAGGATCTCAAGTTTAGCGAGTTTTAGATTCGCGATTCATATGTTTCGCTTCACTTAAAATTTCCAGCTTCTCAAGAATAGCGATTTTCATTCCCAGTTTTGCGAGTCATTGTTGAGTGGACAGCGCGCATTGTCATGGTCTTTTGTTATCCGTCGACCCGCCGAGTGTTTTTTGTTTACGGCGTAACGGCAGTTAGTTTGAATGAGCGAGCAGAAATATATCTACCTGTCTTTCAAGCTCTTGTAAAAGAGGGTGGTTATTGCCGACACCAGATCTTCAATTGTGATGAAACTGGCATTTTCTGGAAGCGCTCACCCAAGACCACTTTCATTGCCGAGGATGAAAAACAGGCAAGGGGGTGTAAAGACTTCAAAAGCCAGGATTACAGTTTTATTCACAGCTAATGCAAGTGGAGATTTCTTGATGAAACCCCTGGTTGTTAACCGTGCTGCCCGTCCTAGAGCCTACCGCCATGCCAATATGTCACAGCTCAATGTTTATTGGACATCTAATAAGAAAGCTTGGGTTACAACGTCTTTATGCACCGATTGGTTTGACAAGCAATTTTTTCCTGACGCCCAACAGTACTGCCAGAGGAGGAACATTGACTTCAAAGTGATCCTGGTGATGGATAATGCTCCTGGACACTCTTTAAGTTTCTAATTGGACACCACCCTAATGTACAAGTTATCTTCCTTCCTCCTAACATCACATCGCCTCTGCAGCCACTTGACCACGAATTCATCAGTAATGTTAAACTGTTCTACTATCAATCACTATAAAGACTTTCGTCAGCAGACAGACTCATTAGTTGAGTTACAACAAATCGAGGCAGAACTCTCTAACAATGACCAGGCTTTACCAGCACCAGCTAACCAGGAGGAGGCGCAAAGGAGATGATAAACAACCCGACCCCTAGCACCTCACCACCCCACATCCGTGAAGTGTTATCAGTTTGTGAATTTGGGAAGAAATATAATATTAAAAATGCAGTGGACAGAATTATTGAGGCATGGCGTAAGATTAATCTTGCAACAGTGCTACATGCATGGAAGCCTTTGTTCGTTAGCTCTGAGGTAAGTGGGGCAGAACAGACTGAGGCAAGTGGGGAGAGGCAGTCTGCAATGGCAACACAATGGACACGGTCGAGGCAGCACGATCGGTCCCAACACCGTGATTTTCAGATGTTCAGGTTGAAGATTTGCAAGAAATCGTTGGTCAACATCAGCAGCAACCAACAATTGAAGAAGTGTTGGAGGAGGATGATGAACAAGAAGAACAGCAACCAACACAAGAGGATGACGTTAAGCCTGGTTAAACTACAACAAGCCAGCTGACTGATGTGCTCACAAGCATCACACGTCTCGGTGAGCAGCTACAAGAATATGATACCAGGCCTCTTCCTCAGAACCTTATGTGCTCTGCCCTTGATAAGGGTATGGAGGAATATAAGGCCCTGTACATGTCCTGTGTTAATGCTCGTCAGTAGGCCCTTATTACTGGGTACCTGCGCAAGGCCCAGCCTGTTATTAATGCCTTGGCAAACATCACTTTAGATGTTGATGGCACCACTGATGATGATATTGAAGTGTTGGGTGACTTACTGGTGGAAGAGCTGCCTCAAGACTTTGAGGGATTTGATGCTGAGGTTAGAGGAAGTGTAGAGGAGGGAGCAGGGAGGGAGCAGTAACCAGCCCTCCCTGCCTCGGAACCCATCAACCAGACCCGTCAAGCATTTTACTGACTCCATCAAGGTTAGTTATTCTACAGTGTGAGTGTATATAAATACTGTTATCAACATTATGTACTATGTAAATATGTATGAATACATTACAGTAATGTCATTTTTTGGGTGGGTTGTAGGTCATTATAGGGGGGTTTGGGTGGCACCGCGAAACCGATTTGGCTTATTTGCATGTATTTCAATGTCACTCGTTTCACGATTTTTAACTTTTGCGACGCTAAAACCAGTACCAATTTGTCGTGAAACATGAGATCCTACTGTACAGTACAGTACTGCAAATGGGCAAGCACCCAATTCTTGAAGAGTGTTACAATGGTCGTATCATCTAGGTATGTGAATGACCTTCTTATAAGACTTAGAATCTTAGTTGCTTGATGCCCCTTCTCACAGTGGTTCAAGAACTTCAGTTCGTTGTCAACATATACACCGAGGTACTTTTCACATTCAGTCTCTGTTAATGCTGTTTCTCTTTCCCATTGGGACTTGTGTATTGTTAAGTAATTAATTTTACCAGTACAATACATGTCTTCCTCAATATATGATACAGTACTACAGTAACCTCCATTTTTTTGCGAGATAGGGACAGAACGGTTCTAGATATTTCGTCACTGAACATTTTATCATCAAGCGATTTATCACCAGACAACTCGTCTCTGGACAACTTGTTACCAGGCAATTTCATCACCCAGACATTTTGTCACCAGTATTATATACAATTTAAGTTTGTGGTTGGTGTTCGTTACCATAAAGGCTTAAGCTCCATTACTGCATCAAAGTCCCAACCATCAATGGCGTTGTTATTGGGCATCTATATTTAGAAATACTGTACAGTACAGTAGTTAAAATCGGTAAAAATTTAATTATATGAGGTATTAAGTCAATCGCAAAATAATCTAAGAATATGAAATCACTTATCTAAAATTGATGTAGATTGTGAGAAATGGTTTTTAAGAATGTAATTTTTTCAAGAGGATCATATCTCTCAAGAAGCCTTTGCAAGCGTGAGTGAAGTTTCTATCTTTGTCTCGGTTGTGTATTGCCACCTCGATCAAATTCTGTTTTTCTTCTTTTGAGCCAGAGGCCTCTTTCTTCAAAACTTCAATAAACTTCCGTACTGTATATTGGAATGATGGCAGGAGACAGAATGCTGCATTGCATTATGAAAACCTTCAAGAGTATAAGTCCTTGTTATATCCTTCTGAGTTCTCATATGCACATTCCATACATGAATAGGAAACACTGATACCAATCTGCATCCGCTGCATCCTTGACCTCTTTCAGCAGCTGTGCATGTTAATTCAAAATAGGAAACAAATTCCTGAGGAAGGCCAACTCTTCAAATGTGTCATTTGCATCATCAACTGGTAAGAATGCTAAAGCTGTAAAACATTTTATTTTTTGACAAAAGTGAGAATTTGTATTGTATAAATTTTTTTAACCCATTTACTAAATACTTTTTCGAGACCTTACCTTAGCAGCGTTGGCACTCCAATTGAAGAAATAATGTTCATATCTTGATCAGCGGTCATTGTCTGATCACGTGCCCTGAAGTACTATAGTTCTTATCTCACACCGCCAGTATTTTTTAGAGCTATCTGCATGTGGTATGCATGACAGCCTGCATTGTTTTATGAAGATTTGATGATCATTCAGTGAAAAACATTTCCAGAATAATTTTAACTCTTACTGTGGTCTATTACAAAAGAATTTTATGGTTTTCTACAAAATTGGAATTTATCTAGTTGTACTAGAATTGTTTGTGACGGAAAATTACACAAATAATACTGTATTACAAAAAATTTACTGATTTTTATGTTTTGGGGTTTTCATGGAGTAAGAGAGCATTTATCATATGTAGAAAAATGTCCTCAAATTGTGCAATTGTCGGCCAGTAATGTACAGTACAGTATTGCCAATGTAACATGTATCTGACTCGTTTCCTGACACCTGTGTCAACACACTTATCAAAGTGAAATACCTGTAAAGAATTTCTAGCACATATAGATAAATAAACTAAATATTATTTGTTTCCTGGACACCTAAATAAACCCTGCTTTATCATTTCACAATTCTCCCTTCACTTTTTCTGCCAAAGCTGTGTCAGTTGATGTAGCCTCCCTAGTGAGAATCACGTGTTGATAAGACTGTGCACAGTCAGATGTTGGATAATAGCATCCCTCAGAATTTTCTCAAAGAGTTTGCACATTCAGTATGTGATGTTAGGCTGATTGGCCTGTAGTTTTCTGTTGTACCTTTTTCAACCGTTCTTGTGCAGTACTATATACTGTACTGGGCAATGGCTAATTTCCGGTACCTAGGCACTTTTACTTGATCCAAATACATGTCAGTAAAATGGACAGCAGCTAAAGCCCTAGTGGTAAGACACCCCCACAAACTCATTACTTCAGATACTAAGTTTGAGACTGTTCCAGGGCAGCATCATGACAATCTAAGGCCTCAGGCACTTTATCGAGAGGGGTCCCCATTAGCCCTTTCCTCTACCTTTTTTCAGGAAAAAGAGACATTGTACAGGTATGTTTCAAATAATGGTTATTTATTTGGTGAAATATTTTTGTCATGAATTCAACTAATGAAATATAGTTCATTATAAAACCATTTCTTGCTATTTTTCCGTTCAAGTTTTAAGTTTTCCTTTTCAAGTTTTATTGATTACCAGAAGTCATTTAATCAGAAAAAAAAAATATCTTTGAATAAAATATAATGTAACAAACTATGATAATGAAAATGACTAATTTTAATTCATATATTCATTGGAAGAATGAACTGTATTTACCTGAAGTATATTAGAGACAAATATTTACCGGTAACTAAAAGTTGACCTTTCGAGGTTTCATAGCAGCAAACTGGGAAACCACATCTTCAAAGTCAATCACACGTGTTGGATCGCTTTCAAATGGGTATGATGGCAAGGCGGTTCAGCTTATCTTGGCTCATTGTAGCACGCTTTTCATTTTCGAGAAGCTGCGTTCTGCTTCACACATATTGTGACATGCCGCGACAGGAGTATTCTCAAGGTTATGCTGACATTGGGAAAAGTTGCTTCTAAATTCTGATGCTTTATAACTTGAGCATTGACAGTGGTGAAGCCATTCTCTCTTTCAGTCTGATCATAAAATCATAAAAATTTTCAAATTCAGCAACAGCTTGAACACAGTCATTATCAAAATCATCTCTGTATTTTGATGTGAGATGGATTACTCTAGCTGGCAAATGCTCTTTGTTTTGATCTGAGAAACATTTTAGAAATGCAAAAATCATCTGCTAGTCCTCTATAAGCTTCTTTACGTTGTGCAAGACAAGTCCGCAGTTTATCTATGATTAGTGAAAGTTTGCACTCTGAACATCTGACCTGGGGATTCTGTGAATTCTTCATCTGGTGATTTACTTTCATCAAAATATCTCTCTCGTTTTCTCTGACGTTTTTCTTCATATTGATAATGTTGGTTTATGCATGGCATGGTGTTCTTTGCATCATCTTTAATCTCGTCAAATTTTTCACGCACTTTCTCAGTGAACTCCTCTAAAGACTCAAGCAATGATGTGGCTGTCAGTAGTTCCACACATTCCTTTTGCAGAGTTAGGCTCACTTTATTGAACCAAATAAGTATTCTATTCCACATTTTAACAAGAAACCTGTTTCAAGCTTCTCTAGGCCAGCAATTAATCCTTTCGTCTTTGACCTCATTGATTCAGGTTCATCGTCATTTGCCACAAAGTCTTTGAGGATTTCATAGATGATTTTGTAGTTCAGACACAGTGCTTTTGTAGCCTCAGCATGGCAAGACCATCATGTAGTTGACGAGCTCTTTAAAGTTAAAATCCTGTAGTTTTCATTTGGGGTTACCGGTAAACCCTTTGTCAAGATAGCCCAACGATGTGTTGATTCTGCTCAGAAAACATAAAGTTTGTTCAGCAAACCAAAAAAATTTACTGGTTCCAAACAACAACTAACACTGTGTACTCCAACCAGGTTCAATGATTGGGCAGCACAAGGTACATATAATCAATGAGATTATTTACATCTTTGAGTTTTTTTGGAGACCTTCATATATACCAGATATATTGGCAGCATTATTGTACGATTGTCCCCAAATATATTGAACATCTATGTACAGTTCATTCAATGTGTCCAAGAGCTTACCACACATATATTCTCCTGTGTGACTAATAATGGGAAGGTAAAGCAAAAAATGATCCATTGGTTCACCAGACGAAGAAACTTATCAAATGTTGAATGAAAATTGTCAGTTCTTGAAGTATTGGGTTTGGAATCTAAACATAGTAGTATTTTGCACTCTGAATCTCTTTATGAGTTCACTGTCTGAGCTCCACTTTAGTGCACAAATATTCATGGAAGTGATTAGCGTGCATCCCCTACTGACTTATTTTATTACAAGATATAGTTTTGCTGTGAAATAACGCTTAACTCTGGTATATGGGTGATTCTGAGGCCATCACACTCATGTCACATTAGACATAATATATTTGACTGAAAATAAGACCTTAATGATATGATGTACTATTATTATTGATAAGTGAGATCCTTCATTGTTTTGATATTATTCTTCACCTTTTTTATGAGAAGAAATATTAAGATTCTACAAAACAATTTTATTTAATCCACTTAAAGTTGTATAATTCTTTAATAGTATTAACTCCACTCAATCTAGGTGCCAGATCTGGATGCTGTTTTGGTGCCTATCAGTGGTGGGGGCATGACATCAGGAATTGCTGTTGCTACCAAAGGCATGCAGCCTAACTGCAAAGGTAAGTTTTTATAGGTACAGTATTAATTTTATGGCTAGTGGCTCCTGATGAATGACCAAAGGTATCCCAGTATGTTGAACACCCAGTGACAAAGCTCACCTAAATGATGAGGTACAATATTTTAGTGTCATGATTTATTGTTCAAATGAATAGTACAATACCACCATTGCATATTTTTTCTTAGGAGTCTTTCAGCACAGTTGTGGTTGCTGACATGTACAGTGGTCCCTCGGTTAACGAACGGTTCGATTAACGAAATTTCAGTTAACGAATTAGCTCCCATAAGGATTTTCAGTTCGATTAACGAACAAAACTTCAATTAACGAAATCCTTACGACAAACACGTTTTGTTGTGTGCATCAGCTGATCGGCTAGTCCACCAATACAGTAATCGGTTCTATGTTTACATTCGTTTCCAGTGCAGTAAATATCAAGAAGGTTGTGCTTTTTAATATTTTTGCATTTTTTATGTTAAAATTATTGGTAATTTAAAAATTTAGTTAACATTCCGGTATTGATAATATATGCAATACAGGGAACTAGTTTTTTGTGCGCCCATCAGCCGCTTGACTCACCCGCCAATGTGTCTCTGTTTAACTTTGTTTACAGTGGAGGAAACATCGTGTTTGTTGGTCTCTTGAATACAGAGTATTTTTACGTTTTTACATTAAAATTATTGGTAATTCTGAAATTTAGTTAACATGTTGACAATGTATAGCGCAGTGCAGTGTTGATTTGAATAAAATAATCTTTAGTTACAGCTACTGAACTTAAAATTTTATTGGCGAAATGACTGCATCAAGCATAGGTGAGAAAGATGATTCCCCTCAGTGTTCTTCTCCAAAAATGAGAAAAGATTTTCATGTTAGAGAATCTCAGTCCAGAGGTTCCTGACATTATTATGGAAGGTGACTCGCCTTCCAAGAAGCATTAAAATGCTTCTCTTCTCCCTTCTCCACCCCCACTTCCTTCTCTTCTCCCTTCTCCTCCACCCCCACTTCCTTCTCTTCTCCCTTCTCCTCCTCCACCCCCCACTTCTAATTCCCATCGTCATCATCAACCAGCAACATTCTACATACACACCTCAAAGTAAGTGTATTGTACTGCATTTTGTTTATACTTTGTATGTACTTGTCTGTGAGTTGGAACCAATTACCCAATATCCCATTGAAATAATAGGTTCGCTTAACGAAATTTTCGGTTAACGAACGACTGTGAAATGAATTGTGTTTGTTAACCGAGGGACCACTGTATATGCAACAACACTGAGGCAGTTGTAGTAGAATATTGCTAGAAATATACATTTGAGCAGTTATCATGTCCATTTTCAATTTATATACAATCATGTTGTTCCAGGATTGAGAAATTATGTCTTTCCAGCACATGCAGGGGGTTAGATTCCCAAGCTCCAGGGTCCAGACTCATAAGATTGGAATCTGTTGTTGAATGAGTTTAAAAATTAGAATATTGTTCCTGTACCATCTATTGTAGCAGGTGTTGCTAACTGTCACTCTCCTCTCCCTCCTAAAAGGAGGGATTGTATATGCACTGTATACTGTACATACACCCTTTACACACAAACCTTCAGTAGGCAAGGCATACACTGTCCACTCTGGTATGTACAGTACTGTATGTACAGTACTTTCACACTTACTGAATGTACAGTACAGTATATGTAACTGTAATCACTTTTTATGCCTTAACACTACTTAAATGGTACAGTTTTCTTGGCTGATTGTATCCTGGTATACTGTACAGTAATGTAGAGTACTTCGCAATACAGATCATATGAGAAAACAATCAGTAAACAAGAAAACAAGCTACTACAATGGCAGCTAGATTTTGAAGAGATAGACTGTGATATACATCAGCCAATCACCCATGCAGTCAGTAGTACCACACAAGTCTACCCACCCACATGCTCAGCTCATAATACAATTACGTACAGTACTCAGAAATTCATTCGAACGCACAGAATGGAATGATTTTTCTCAGAATTTCTCGGAATGATAAAATTTAATTTTCCGGGTAATGAAAATTTCCAGGGATCAAAGATTCTGGCTCATGGGAATATTACTGACTTGCCAACCATGGGGATTATGTTCTAGAATTCTCTCAAAAGTTAAGGATAAGTACAGGTGTATGCTAGATACTTCTGAACAACTTACTCTTCCTTGAGATCTGATCTATCCCGTCTTGAGTATAAATTCTCATAGACAGTTTGAGAGAACAGTGGAAAAATTTGTCTATGCAGTTCTGATAGTGGAGCTAAGGACACTAGGGATTGTAATTTTCAGAATGAATTTGTCCTTTAAGAGCAGATTCAGAGATAGGATGATCCCTTTCTTAGGGACCTCAGCTTGAAGAGCTTTATTTTTGTCTCATTATCATCTTTTTCATTATTTTATGGCCATTTTCCACAATGTCATGGTTTAGACTTGGTTATCTGATGGCAACTTTCTGGGCTGCATGTCCTTTTTTACTGTATCCTCTCTCATTAGGTGCTCATCTCTAAGGTAATTTCTCACAACTTCTCAATATGTCAATCTTGGCCTTCCCACTTTTTCTCCTGTGTTCTCTCTACATGTTCAAAATATCTCAGCCTACCTCTGTGCAAAACTTTACCAATACAGCTCCTCCCCGATTTACAACCTACTCGACTTACGACCACCTGCACTTACTACCTGCCTCAGTCGTACCAAAATTTGGTCAAATTACGTATTTTCGAGTCCCAAAGTCAGTGCACAGACAAAATTTTCGTTTGTAATTCACCTTAAAATGGCTGGCAAGCTTAAAAGTGAGTGTTTTGTGGTGCTGAGAAGAAAAAGAGACACCCATTTTAGATTTTGTATGTACTGTATTATTTTAGCATTTCCGACTTAAGACCATTTCGACCTGGATTTGGGTCCCTAACCCCGTCGTAAGTCGGGGAGGAGCTGTACAGTACTACATTACTCTCAATACCCAACATATCCAACCATTCTCTTTAGCTTTGAACAGGATTTCCTATTTCTCAATTTTACATTATGCATCCACCTCACCATTCTCATTTCAGCTCACTCAAATCTATAAGTGTCATCCTCTTTAACTGCCCAAATTTTATTGCCATAGAACCACCAATATACATAACTAATCATAATACAGTCCTGCTATACCAGTACTTATGTAAGTTAAATTGTGGTGTAATGGTGTGGAGTTCTCAAAAAACGTTCACATAAATTTTTCACAAACTGATGACTACTGGCAGACTGAAATTTTTTTAATGGGAAATCCAACATATAGTTTGTATGCATGTTGAAGCAGTTGACCTCATGCTGTCTGCACAGAAAGCTAGATTAGATACATCATTTATGACATTGTTGTGTTCCACTGGCAGCTTATTAAATCTTTCAGTTGGAAAGATTTAAAAACTACAAACTCTCCAGTCATTTCATCCTCAAGATTTGAATAAGACTCGAATTTGAATACCTTCTTTTTCTGTCATGCACTGAACTCAGCAAGTGTTAATAATATTTTCTGTTACTGCCACAGTAAGATAAACATGAGAGAGAGAGAGAGAGAGAGAGAGAGAGAGAGGTTGAGATGTTACCACCACAGTAAGATAAACATGAGAGAGAGAGAGAGGGTGAGAAGGGGGGGCAGTGCTGACAACGTGTTTGTTGGTCTTCTAATATAAAACAGATGCCCTCGTCTAGGGCTGCGATTGGATGGCGATTGCTCAGTAGTCTACCAATTCTTGCAGAAGAAACAACACGCTGGTCGAACCCAAGACCCTAAAACGTAAATATAAACTCTAAATAACTTTAATAAGTATATTTATGTACTGTAATTTGATCATATTATACAACTTGTATCCTGATGTATCAACAGATGTAACATGTGAGTTATACTTAAGATGTTAACAGGCTATGTACTGTATATTGATTGTATTATTCATTCTATGTGTCCTGAGATGACAGCATTTGTTATATGTGAATTCTTCTTTAACAGGTTTTGTCCGAATTATATGGTACGCGTCAACGTTGAGGGTTTATTTCTCCAGCAACAAACCAATAACGCTCCTATGAGCGTTAAAATTTTCTTTATACTGTACTCACATGACTGAGACTGAAATGAGAGAACAACAGTACGTACTGTATATTGGGATCATACCTTTGTCAATAAAGTGTAAGAGTTTTAGCATGAGTCCAAATAGAGGAGTTGCCACTGAACTTTAGTCTTGTACATACAGTGATTATTATTTGAATACTGTATCATGAAATACCATTAGAATTGGGTCTTGACATCTGGGAGTTGAACATACCCTTAATTGTGAGGTTTGCTAGAATTTTTTTTTCTATAACACTGCTATTATTCAGTTGTTGGTTGATGGAATGTTGGATAAGAGAGGGTCAACCTGTACTGTACTTATTTTGGGTAGTTGTGATAGATTGCTTTGACATTTGGTAATTGACTTTATCCACTCTAGCTTTCTGCTGTCTTGGAAAATCATATGTCTTTGGGAAATCATCAGTAACTTGTAAGCTATGAATAGAAGACTGAAGAATGAAATCTCATTTGGTAGCCAAAGGGTGAAGACAAGCTTCCCACCCACTTTCTTAAGTGAATTTCTGAGTGAGCAGGAACTGTGAAGAGATTAAATTGCAACTCATTTTTGTAGATAGTGGTTCAGGATGAGTAATAACTTATCTAAAGGCTTCATTTGGACAATGTAACGTGTTTGCCTCACACCACTGTGGTTACGGGGTCAAATCTCCAAGTCAGATGTGAGAAGGGTGTTATCCAGTATGATCTTACCAAGTATTCCGGTTTCCTCCTGTGCTAACACTGAACAAAATACAGATCAGCCCCTTGAACAGCTAGTGAGCTAGTAAGTGGTGAAGTGATAAATAATGTAACTTATTGCTGGAGCTTAGGAGGCCCCATTGCGAAGACAGACTCATCAAGGGGTGTTACATTGGAGGTACTGTATCACAAGTCACTCCAATTGGGTTTTTTATTTTTTTATTTTTTTACTTGTGTTAATTCTTTTGTATTTTCTGTGGAAACAAGTGTGTTTTCTTTATTCCTATAGTGTATCCTGTTGAGCCTTATGGGAAGCTACTACAGAGATGCCTTCAAAGCAAACAACGCATGTGGCCTAATCCTCCACAGTTCATTGATACCATTGCAGATGCTATACGCACACAACAGGTAAGAAGAAAACATCTTTATGTGTGTAGCACAGGTATGGACCCGCAAACCCAGATGCCAGAAAACTGGATATTCTCAAAAACCAGACATTGTCTTCACCGGGTTAGGTTAAATTTTCTTCCCTGGCTATGTAAAGTTATGCTTCCACACACTCACACAAACTAAGTTAAATTTTTTGCTCTACTTCTTGAATAACAAAATAAAGAAAACACCATGGTATGCATACTTGAAATAAAAATAAATAATTACAGGTATAAGTTGTATACTGTAATTATATATAATTGTGAGTCACTGGCAAACACACATTTTCTCATATTAAGGGTAGGCAGGATAACCAATATGAAACATGATCAAATACCATAACAGTGTTTGTTGTTTTATAACAAGTGTGACAGTCAAAATTAAATTTTATTAATTATACTTGTATGAGAATAGGCATATGGAAAAATGTGATTCACTGGCATATCCACTTTTTCCCATATAAGGGGTAATCAGGGCTACCAACATGATGTAATCAAACACCCTGTTCAGAATATTTTGTCCGTTGTGTCATATTGTATAACACCATCAGTGTAATGATACTTTTTGCTGAGTATACACACCTGAGTGCACATATTTTTACCAAATAGTTCACTTTCCTTTCTGGAACAAGTTGAAGTAATTAGTAAATACATGTACATGGTGAAGCACTAGCAGAAAGAAAGAGGGTCCCATAGGCATAAATCCCCTGGAGATAGAGTTACTGTACTGTAGTTAAAGCAGCAATAGTGGGAGGTGGTGGTGAACAGAGGCAGCCCTAAATACATTTTATTATTTCCTTCATATACTATAGGTTCAGATTCACTCTAGAGTCTAAAGTAAATCAGTGAAACTGTCTTCAAACATAAAAAACATCACACTATCATGGGTAAACAATAATCCAAGGTAGATAATTAAATCAGTCATCTTTTCTTCAAATAGACAGAGTAGAATATCACAACTTGGGTTGGTGTTCCAGGTAACATGAACAGGTTTTGTCTTGTAAAGATCATATTAACATGAACTTATATCTGAGTAAGGTCTAGGTCAGTCAGCTTTGCCTACACTCTCTGCTGGCAATAGTAAGGTATTTGACCAGTCCACCTCACCAGAACCCATCTTTACTTCTTATCACTTCTCACCACCCATCTGCACCAATAGCCATTTGCCATCATTGCATTTGGCAATTCTAGTGTTAATAATTTCTGTTGTGTATTGTGCTAACTTTTCGGTTATTTTCTGTATTTACACAAAGTAATTCCATACATAGGAGCTTGTTAGTCTCTTAACCCGATAACTGCAACATACATTCTCGAATGATAGCAGAGAGTGCGACATATGCAGTATTCTGGAATTCAGAACGTTTTGATTACAGCACCCCCCAAAAAACATTATATCTTGCAGGGTCAGGTATGGGATGTTTACACTCGCCAGTTTCTTGAGTCTCCCCACTGAGACATACATTTTCTCTATCCTCCATTTTAGAAATTTCACAAAATCCCATGTTGATGTTGTATTTACATTTAAAATTACTAATGACTGCTTATGTGTTACTGTAAGATATACTGTACATGCCTACTTATAGTTGAAACATTCAAGATTCATTTAGTGATGTTGAAAGCTTCAACTACTGGTATATTTACTATAAGTGAAATTGTCAAATAGTCAAGTGTTGGAGTGAGCAATAGAGATTAGAATCTTTTTTCCGTCCCACGAGAGACTGGCGGCCAAACTAAGGTAAGTGATGGACTCATATTTTGTTTCCATATTCTTCTACATATTATCTTTTAATCCACAAGAGTGAAATGATGTTCTTGGAAAATCGATATACTGTACTGTACTTGTTTTTTGCACACTGGGGGATTGATCAGAAAATCACTCTACCGCAGTTATCGGGTTAAAGAAAGATGGCAAAAACCACTTGAAGGATACTATTAGGAGTTTTGGAAGGAATTATACAGTACTGCTTCCCAAAGTTGTAGAAATGTAGAACAATCATTTAAAATGTTAAATTTTATTTCTTTAGAGAAAAAATAATTGATGGGGTGTGCAGAATCTCTGAGGTACAGGCAAGTACCCCATGAGAAGTTTAATTGAGAACACATTTTTGTAGAGCCTAATTATGTTCTTTGGTGGGGGTTTACTGACTTTTTTCATTAACAGATTTTTATCACGGTATAAGTAGAATTATATCATTTATTCAGTATGTGGTCTTCTGTCATGGTAGGTTGGTAACTTGACATTCCCAATCCTGTGTGAGTATGCTGAGCCAAAGGTGTTTACCATCACAGATGACCAGATGATTGAAGGAATGAAGCTTGGCTTTGAACGCATGAAGGTGAGGCTTAAGAATTGAATTTTATACAGATATTCACCTAATTAGATGTGGTTTAACTTACAGTCACCGCAACGGAAGTTGAGACCCTTCCCTATATTGTATGAGTTCGGTTTGTTCTCAGCAATATTACACCAAAAAAATCCTCAGATCTAGTTGAAATTTTGGAAACATCAGGCATCTGGTAACATCATCACGAGCCTCTGGCCGCACGGAGACCTCAGTGCCCCACCAATTGTTGAAGAGGGAGCACGCAATGACAATGCCTCGACTTCCTGTGGCCCTTATTTTACTTCTCTGCTGCATCACACCACCCTGCGTGCATCTGAGTGATCCAGGATGGGCCCCAAACCATTGATACTGGCTTTAAGGGAGGAAAACTGCCTATTGTCAAGATTTGTCGGCATACTTGCTGTTCAAAAGCAACTGTGATGCGTCCTCGCAGTCGCCCAGGACCTACCACCAGTGCTGTTCCGGCGCACAAAGGTTGTCGTGGACAACACCCCCCCCCCCACCCCCGAACCCCGAAGGACTTCTCCTGCCACAGATCATCTTCTGAAGAATTCTTTACTCAAGAATCCACAACTATCCAGGCCTTCTCTGAAAAACCTTTCCATTCATGGGATTCAACACCGCCTGCAAAAAGACCTTCACATGCCCAGCTGTATAGCGGCACTCAAGCTGCTTCTCACCCCCACCATACGCCACAAGAGACTCGCCTTTGGTCAAAAATGCCGTCACTGGACTGTGGAGCAGCGGAAGAAGGTCTGACGAAAGCAATTTTTTAAGTCATACGGTAACTTCTCATCGTGTGCGCGTCAGGAGGCCCTCATACCACAGCCTGGTGTGGGGGAGCTTCAGTGGTAACAAGGGGCATGGAGGACTGTACTTTCTCCCTAAAAATACAACTATGAATGGCATGTGGTATCTTGAGGTTCTTAAAGATCATTTATTGGACATTTACGAAATTCATGAAACTGACATTTTTATGCATGATGGCGCCCCCTGCCACAGCGCCAAGAAAGTGACTCATTTCCTCTGGGAGAAGGGTACTTCAGTGTTAGAGTGGCCAGGAAACAGTCCTGATCTATACCCTATTGAGAATGTCTGGAAATAGATGAAAAGTAAGATCAGGGACTGTGGATTTCCTGTCTCACCTGCACGAGGAGATTAAAAAAGTGTGGACACGGGAGATGGACATAAGTTATTTCGTTCATCTGTGTGAAAGCATGCTAAAAAGGTTGTCTAATGTGGTGAAGGCCAGGGGAGAGATGACTGGGTACTAGGGATGTATTTCCAGTGTATTTTTGTATAAATAAAGAGTAATTGCCTATTTTATTTCTATCACACCTAGGTCTTAACTTCTGTTGCGGTGACTGTACATTTACTTGTATAAATTTGACTTTATTTTTGTAACATGAATGTTATCAAATAACTTATATGTTTCATTCTATAAATTCACCTGCTGACATCATCATTTTATGGCCACAGTCAGTGCACATTATTGAATTACTGCAAGCACCCTTCTTACAGACGGCACATAGCTATTTTCCACTTTCCATCTTACTGATAGCCATAAGGATGTGACATGTTCAGTGGCAGGACACACTATCCAGACAGTCAGCGTTGGTTAGTGTTTTTGCAATAAGCACAGAGTTGTGAAAAATATCGAACTTTGTTACGTAAGTAAAGTATTGTTACATTAGGAAAATGTTACTCAAGTAGAGGTAAAAATATCCAAAGTTTAGTGTACTCAAGTAGAAGTAAAAAAGTATCTCATTCATAAAATACTTAAGTACTGAGAGTAAAAGTAACAACAAAATTATTAATTGTCTCAAATATTAAAATAAATCCACAGTAAATTGTAAAAAACTAGTTAACCTAAGATAAAATTAAAAGACAGCATTACACATGTTTATTTGCAAATCTCTCCATTAAGATTAATCAGTACCGGTAACATTCTCAGAACTATGACTGTCCAATCAGGATCTTTTAGACCTAAATATAAGCCCAGCATGACCTACCGAAAGAGAATATGTTCAGCCGCTCTTCTCCCTACAATCCATGGCATGGATAGTGAACGGGCTGAGAGTATGTCCATCCAACACTATGATCACTTTATTCCTTATCCACACAAGTATCGTCAACGTGGACCACATAATGTTGTCTCTGCTCACATTAGGTTAAGATACAGACCTATCTGGCAAGTATCTGAGGTGGAGGATGACCCACACTTCTCTTCCTGTAAACTCTGTAACTGTCCCAGTGCTAATACCCTTCAACACTATTGTCTTGACTGTCCCACTGTCAGGGGCCTCTCACCACAGGGAGTCACTGACCTCTATATGTCACCACCTACTTATTCGTAATAATTTAGATTTAATTCTTGTGCGCTACACAGGCTTTGGTGGGTGCTAACTCCCATTGTCCTTAAATCATATCAATATTGCCTCCATACCACAAGTCATAGCGTGTCCTGCGAGACACGAGTACCAATGTAATAGTGTCTGACTGCATGGTCTTGTGACTAGGCTTGCTGCCCCCTAGGGTGTAATAAATTAATTAAATAATAAATAATAAGCCCAGCATGACTAACAGATGCTCACAAGCAGCAGATGCAGGTAGTGGGGTGTTAGATAAGTCACATAATGTTGGGAAAGACCTCAGTATCTCCATCCCATCCCCTGGGCATGACAAGTACCTATCAAGCTCCTTCAGTTGAGGAGTTTGTGGATGATTGTTGACTCCATAGTGACTGAGTCTGACTAAGAATCACTGTGAACTGTCCCTCTAATTGGGTGTGGCTGTGGTGACGGCACTTTTCGATTCTACTGTAATTGATGAGTGGCTGAATTTTTCGCACCACGTAAAATCTGGCGGGTGCTGGTGGGGCAGTGGTACTTAGTTATTTAACCCTTAAGCCCCGGGTTAGGATGTTGCTGGCAGTACCGACCCCGCAGGGATAAATCGAGGAAAAAATCAACTTTTCCAAAAATAATAACAAATAAATAAATAAATAAATACTGTATATAAAAAATGGCGGGAAAATAGGCGGACGTTCTGGGACGTCACCCGGGGCCTAAGGGTTAAGCAGAATTTTATATTCACTCAGTTTCTCACATAAGTATAGATACACGCTTTATATCTAAGATGGAATTATGTAAAGCATTTTAGAATTACAGCCTCTTTGAAATTCGTTTTAGGTATACAGGTATACTACAGTATTGTATATATTCAAAGAGCAACTGAAGGAAAGGTCGGGGAGAAGGGAGGGGATAAAAGGGTAGGCAAGGTGAGGTGGGTGGTCAAGGTGTTAATGAACAAAAGAAGGTCAAAGGAAAAGTCCGCCGTCATGGCCACTGCCACCTGACCTGACCTGACCTAGCTTCACCTGACCTCTAAGTATGTAACCGCGTGGTGTCTCCCCACACCATACCCTCCACCCATACAACTCTTTTACTATGGTTAATATTTAATTAATTAATTAAATAATATATTATTAGTTTGCCACAGACATTAAAACTCTTTGTTTGGGTCATGTAATGGTTAGAGTTACGATTTTTGTTTTTTCAATTGTATTGGAGTAAAAGTATTAGAAAACCTTACTAAAGTAAAAGTACTTAAAAATTTGAGTACTTTTTAAAAGGTAAATATCCAAAAATGTTACTTGAATACAGTACTCAAGTAAATTTATTTACTTAGTTTACAACTCTGAATGAGCATCACTTTCTCATCTGGGGAGAATCATAGTTTTGAGTCCCATTGCATACAGTAGTGCTATTTGAACTCTTTTTAACCATTTAAGGAAGTTCATTTTCCCTCCCTATCAGCTCGTGTTGTGTCACTATTCTTACATGAGCATAGATCAGCAAGAAGTTTTATTTATACTGTGCATTCTGTTGTAATTTCTTTGCATATAATTTTTATTTAGGAAGGTGTTTGCCACACAATTTTTCACTTTTATTATTTAGAATATTAAGGTGAATGGTTTTATAGTTATGCAGTATTTTTCTTAGTTTACCTTACAGTTCAGTACTTAATACTGTACCAGTATTTGGTTTTGCATAATGAATGGTTCCTGGGGTTGATCATTAATTGGGGCTGATATATTCCCCTGGACTGTATACCGGGTACCTGTACTGTAGGGTCTTAATAATTCTTCACTTTCCAGTTGAGTGCATATTTTACTGTGGCACCTGCAAAATACCTCTCTTTGAGTTGGCTAGCCATAGACTGTGCAGCCTGTACTTCAGTTTCAATTCTTGCAAGACTGATTTTAAAGTGTATAAATGTAGATTTGAAGAAAATTTAAGAAATTTTGTATATATCTACCTGAAATTATGAGTTGAAAAATAACAATAAAGCATCTCACAGCTTGGCCTGGTAGGTTAGGTTAACTGAGATCCCAAAAAGAACATTCCCCCTCTTGCTTCCATGGTCCACACTGACTCTGGTGAATGTAAGAAATGTTTTTTTTTTTTATGTTTTGACCTTATTATAATCATTTATTTTACTTTTATTTTTTTTTGCACGTTCTGTATGAAAGATTGTGTGCATGTAACCGTTATAAACAAATTTACATATGTCTACCCAAAATATGAGTTAAAAAAAAACCCACTCTGAGTGATAACTCTGGCCCTTCAGGGTATCAGGCACGGAACCTACTTTTCCCCATTAGTTCTTTATACAGTATTGATATACAATCGATCACTTAGTGATGGCTTTTTGAGGTCCCTAAACCACTTAGTGATGGCTTTTTGAGGTCCCTAAACCCATCGTATAAGGGTCAACACCTGTTCTGCACATAGAAGATATACAGTATCATGATTTTTCATCCCACTCACGTGATGTATAGAGGACCTACTGTAAGAGTATTACTAGATAGAATTCTTATATCTATGTAGCCACAAGGGAATTAAGTAAGTGCATTCTTTCCTTAATTGTTGCAGAATTACTTAAAAAGAATGAACTAAAATACATTGAATGTAAGGATTTTCTGTTGGATATCAAAATACTACACTGCTTGGCAAGTTGTAGGTAGATCAGTGTTAAAGCCAATTAATATGGGTGATTTATTTTGCATTGTTGAAGAATTTTGTAATGATAGAATTTTTTTATTATTATGAACTTGGCTACAACAAGAGGAAATTAATATTGTTTCCTTATTACTTTCCAGAATTTTCCTTTTAAAATTACTATAGTAGCCCATGTGCTCATCAACCCAGTGTCATTATGTAGAGAACTTTACAGTACTGTACACTACAGGTATATTAAATAATATTTCATATTTATTTATCAGATGGTTGTGGAAGCTGCATCAGGTGCTGCCATATATGCTGCAGTGAAATCAATAGAGGAGGTTGACGCAGCTCCTGAGAAGGTCGGAGTTATTCTCTGTGGTGGTAATGTGGATTTGGATCATTTGCCATGGTTCTCCCGCAAAACTTCTTATTAACTTAATGTTGTACTTAGAGTGTGATGTGATAAGTTTTGTAGAGAATGTCTAAGAAATATTAAGTTTATCTATACACTTTGTGGATTGAAAGAGTATGTAAACCACTATAGAATCAATCGATCATGGTGCTATTCTCAGGTATAAGGGTTGGTGACCACAACCCTCCATTCAAAACATTTTCAGTGCCTTTCTCTCCTATTCCTTATGTTTTGTATCTCTGGGGATTCTGCTCTATCCATCAAAGTCTCTGCCATACCTTAGCACTTTTACCCTAAATTTAACCTATAAATCTTTACCATTAGCCCCATCATCCAAAATTATATGACAGAAGTACAGAGTATCTCATTTACCTTTTTATATAAGTTTCCATTTCATTGCTCTAGCCATTCATGATACGGTACAAGGTACAGTACGTTTTTTTCTATCAGTAGAACTTATTTCTAACTTTCTACTGTACAATCACAATTATAAACCCTCAGGTTTACTTCAGGTAATTGCTGAAAATGTCTATGCTTCTTATCACTACAATAGTAATGCTTGTATGCAATATTTCAGCAGTCTTTCTTGAAGTAAAACTAATGTTCTGTTCATTAAATTGGTAAGATTTAACTTTTAGGATTTATATTTAATTTGGAAATTGTCATTACTGTTCTTCTGCCAAAGCTCATATTCTTTGCATTTTCCGATATGTTAACCAGTTTATGTAATGCCTCTTCACTATCTGCAATAAGAGTAATATAATCTTCCTGCCAACTATTTGATATTACTTTCCCATTAATTGATATTCCTTCAATATTTTCTACAACTTTTGATATCAAAGATTCTGAATAGATATAAAAAAATGGAAAATGCATTTGGCCTTTATCTTAACTCCCTATCATACTGTAAAATATCTGATAAGTTTATTGGTTTGTTGTTATCTAAGAGAGTAAGTGCAGTTCTTATGACAAAGAATGCTCATCTGTTAAGGGGTTTGGTAAAGCAGTGGGATTACACTTGCCTATCACCACTGCAGCCACAAATTTAAATCCTTGGGTCAGATGTGAGAAGGGTGTTATCCAGTGTGACCTCACCAAGTATTGCAGGTTGTTTCTTGTTGCTTCAGTTTCCTTCTATGCTCACACCAAAGGTTGTAACAATGTAACAAAGAACAGATCAATCACTGAATGGCTAGTAACCTGATAAGTGGTGGTTTTGTCAAATGGAACATACCCAAGTTTGGAAACCATCATCAAATTCTCCTGGCAATGCTACGACAGTGTTAGCAACAGTGTGAATAATTCCTTCGTCACAAAATGTTGGTACAGTACAGTGCTGTATAAATAATTGAGACAATTGGAAATGATTTTTTTTTTTATTATTTACAATTTAAACACTGGCATACCTGGAAATTGGTTATTGGTGATGGAATCAAAGGAAGAAACCTTACTAGCCTGAGTGGCAGAGTATTTGAGGAAATTAAATGATGAAACCTCCCAAAGGACCATATGACTGGATGGGAGGAAGGGGGAAATAGATGATCTCGTACTACCATCTAATTGTTGCAAACAGATACAATGTGAAATAGTTGCTGTGTGTGGGTATTACAGTTGGCAGTACTGCACTGTATATTTATAGCCTATTAAGTTACATAATAGTACAGGTATACAAAAATAACCGGAATTATTTTTGTATGAGTGGCCTCTGAATATTTGTTTATGAGTGGCCTTTATATAATGTATATACTTTTTGATTATACAGGACCATACCAGATAATAAAAAAGTCATGCTAAATCATTATGGATTTCTTTATACTGTACTGTATACAAATTTGGTTCACATTGCAGTACAGTATATTGAATAAATTTGATAAATAAACAAGCAATGTAGCAATAATATTTAATAAATGTGTAAGAAATTAAGTTATAAAGTACAGTACAGTACTATATTACATGGAAATAAGTAGAATTCATACATCCCAAATAATGCTCAATCATAGTTGAACACGTAATAGCACTCATGATCCGATGACCTCAAATAATTTCATGTTATTGGTGCAGCCATGCTTCCCAAAATAATTTTTAGCTTTTACAGAGACACTTTAAGGTCGATAAAAATTGCTTGGTAAATGTAATACTTTTATCCTCTTCACCACTGATCAGCTCATTAGCCGCTTGGGCGGTCAGTCACGTCTCTGTTACGCACTGTTAACAAATACTGGCCATGCATTGGCTCCTGAATGTATTGGAACCTGCTCCAGTGTTGCTCAAGTCTGGTCTTGAAAGATCTCACACTCGGTGCCATCACAACACTCTCTGGCAGATTGTTCCAAGTGTTCATAACTCTCACTCTGAAAAAGTTTGCCCTCACAGTTTTCTGGGCTTGTAGCTTCTTCAACCTTGAGCTGTGACCCCTTGTGGGGTGGGCATCAGCCAGCTCCAAGTACGGACATTCGACTGATTAGTGCCCGCTGAGATGTTTATACACCTCAATTAGGTCGCCCCTTGCTCACTTGTAGTATAAGTCAGGCAGTTGCAGGCACTCTAATCTCTGGATAACTGAGGTGCCGAAGTGCAGGCACCAGTCTGGTGGCCCTCCTTTGGACATTTACAATCAACTGACAGTCCCTAGCATTTCTCGGGGACCAGGTGGGGTGACAGTACTCCAGGCAAGAACAGTATTGTACGAAGGCCATTCATCAACTGGCCACTCACCAGCATTAGCTAGCCAGTAATCCATCTATAGGTACCCATTATCACTACTTGATGATATTAAATCAATCAGCATTTAATAACTGTAAGAATGCATAAAAGAATTAGGTACGTAAATTTTGGCAATGAATGATTTTTTGAGAAGCTGTGTGTTGTATTTTCCCTCTCACGGCTGATTGTCAGCTGTGGTCTTGAGAAAGATTCGTAAATGAGTCATATCCAGCAATACTGAACTCACATTCCTCTGGGTCGATTCTCCTGTTCTTGTACAACAGTTCTACAACACCTACAATATCTGGTTGGTGTACTCTTAGTAGTGTTTCAAACTCCTCTCTCTTATCGAGAAACCTGTCAGTATTAGTGTACATGGCATTCAAACCAGAATTTGTTCTCGGTAACGTCTCTGCTCTGCTCTTAGTATTAACCCCGCTCCCCACCCCCCCCATTCTCAGAAGCTGCAGCGTTTGCTAAGTACACTGTATTTTGCAGGGTGTGGTTAGAAATGTCATTGTTTACACGGTGCTCGCCTTCTCCTGTCCGGTAGGCGGAGCTGGTGCTGCCTCCCGGGTGAGGGTTAGAGCAGGTGGAGGGTGCACTGCTGCCCCCTGGCCCTGTGTCGGCACACTTGTTTCCACTACCCTCCCCCTGAGTATAACCCATGTACACCCGTCCCCGTTCTTCCTTGACTCCTCCCTCTTCTGCTTCAAGTCCTGCAGGAGCTTCTTCTGCTGTTCCCTCTGCATTACCGTGCGAGCTGGGTGAATGAATACATCCCGAAATGCTTCGATCCTTGCTAAGTTTTTTGCCTGCCGAATAGCATGCCATTTCTCCTCCTCACTCACTAGTGTGATCCTTAGGGGGCGAGGCTTATCCCCCTGCTTTTGTGCCAGCCTCCTCACATCCTGAGGGGTTGATGGAATCTTCAGAACCTCTGTACAAAGATTTTGAAACAGCACCTTATCGTGTGTTACCTTACTCACAGTTCCCCCTGCCTGGCTCTCTGGGACTCCAAAAACTATTACATTGTTCCTGCACTGGAGACGTTCCTGGTGTTCCTCCTCATCCCTAACAGTTAATTTTCATTTCTTCGACACACTTCTTCAAAGTCCCAAGCTGTTGTAGAACCTGTTCTGATCCTACATTACTCTCCGCCCCCTCCCGTGGCCCTGCTAATATGTCAGCATAACTCCTCTTAGCAACCACCTCCATTCTATCAGCTACTTCCTCAGTCTTAGCAAGGATCTCTTTCCCAACTTGCTCCAGTTTGGCAACCAGCAGGGCTCCAGCTTCATCTATTTTCGTCCCAAGAGAACTCGTTCCCTTATGGCTTGCAATCGCTTCATTCACCTTGACTATGCAGCCAGGGCAATACCAGCAACAGCCATCATGCTTTACGGCAGTTAGTAACTTCCTAAACGTTGCATTAGTCAGGCCTGTATCCTCCATATCTGACGTCTCTCTGCAGTATCTCAGTATAATTTTTTTATTTTGACATTACAGAATATAAATATCTTTATTGGTTTTCATTCATCAACTAATAAATATAAACCAAATTAATTTTATACAGAAGTTGTGCTTGGGTAAATGAAAAAAAAAAAGCTAGCAGCGGTGAGATTCGAATCAACGACTCTGGAAGAACTGTTGTGGGGTTATGAGATATTGGTTCACACTCAGGATGGGATGGAGAAAGGAAACTCACAATGTGCTCTCTGTATACTTATTGTATTGGATGTACAATGCAGCTTGGTGCTGGGGGGTGGCAGCGTGAGTCCAAGAGGACACGCGGCTTGTGGGTCGCCATGATCGCCGGCGGGAGCGAGGGCCACCAGGCAGGAGCGGAGGAGGAGGTGTTGCTTGCTGGTGGCTGTACGTAGAAAGAGGTAGGTCACGGAGGGGTGAGGTCTTATATAGCAGGGGTAGGCGTGGATTGATAGTTGACCTCCGCTTTGTTAGGCAGCGCTGGTTACCGACCTTGACCACGAGGCGTACGCTGGGGAATTCGAAGAGGGTCGGCTGGTCAGCGACACGGCAGTTGTAGGGGAGGAATCCACTACAATACTCCCCCTTCCCTCCAGGCAGTGTAGGAGACTTGTTGTCGGCAGGGCTGCATCCCACATGTGAGGCATAACAGGCGGTGCAGGAGACTTGTTGTCTGCAGGGTTGCATCCCACATGTGATGCATAACGGGCGGTGCAGGAGACTTGTTGTCGGCAGGGTTGTATCCCACATGTGAGACATAACGGCGAGGGCATGGATGAGCCGGCTGCTATGGAAGACAACGTTGTCTAGATACATGAGATCTGTGGGAAAAGAGGGAGAAGGAGGGTTGTGGAGGCGAGGAATGTGGCGCTTCTCTTGCGGCAGGTACACGGTCCTCAGTAGCGCCTGTTGGGGTGTGTGGGTCCGCGTCAGGAGCAGGAGCCACGTCAGGAATAGGGTCCATGACAGCAGCAGGATGCATGACAGCAGCAGGGTGCAAGACAGCAGCAGGGTGCAAGACAGCAGCAGGGTGCAGGGCAGTAGCAGGGGGTACCTGAGTGAGAAAAGAGGGGTGTGTGGGTCTGCGTCAGAGGCAGGGGCTGCATGAGGAGCAGGGGCCACGTCAGGAGGAGGGTCCAGGACAGTAGCAGGGGGTACTGCTGGGCCGAGGGCGGCGTCTGAGGCAGGACGGGTGTGTAGGGGTCGATAAGACGTGGTGCTTGGGGCAGGAAGAGGAGCGGCTGTCTGCTTAGAGTAGCAGAGCTGCTGTAGGGTCTCTAACCTGCGGTGTAGAAACAGTAACTGTAGAGCCGATGAGAGCTGCCTCCATGTGGATAAGCTAGTCTTCCATGTTGATTGAAGACTGGGAGAGTGATCAGTTTCTCCTCCATCCTGTGTGAGTGCGATTCTCCGGGGGTCACCATTTGTGGGGTTATGAGTTTCTCCTCCATCCTTTGTGAGTGCAAATCTCCAGGGTCATCATTTGTGGGGTTATAAGATATTGGTTCACACTCAGGATGGGATGGAGAAAGGAAACTCACAATGTGCTCTCTGTATACATATTGTATTGGATGTACAAAGCAGCTTGGTGCTGGGGGGTAGCAGCGTGAGTCCAAGCGTGGTGTAGGAGAGAGTTGGTTGGTGAGGGTGCTCAGAGGACACGCGGCTTGTGGGTCGCCATGGT